TTCACCACTTTTGGCTATATTTTATCATATTATTCTAGACTGATCATCAGAGGTTCGTGAGATTATTGTCATACATGTTTTCAATCATTGGAAAAATCTTCGATTGTGTAATACAATACAAAATAATGCAAGTGCAGAAGTGTCTTTTAGCTTTAACATTAACCCCACATCCGATTTCTCAAAACTATACTAGAGGGTAATTTATTGGCACAGAATTACGATATGAACTGATGCGACGTGACGAAGGAAAAATCAAACTTACACTGTGACGGATGGACCTCCCTTACACGTTAGAACGTGTCTCCTCAACAAGCAGATATTTTCTCTCAAATAAAATCATAGATTAATCTTTATTACACTGATGAAATCGGGGAAGTTTTTAACTAATAAAAAAGATCCACCAATACGGTTTTAATTCTATTTAAAGGTTCTTCCAAAGTATGGGAAATATCTTATCCGTTGAATGATCAACCATATTTGGTAACTAACGCAATTAATATCATTATTGTTTTTACACTTATTACTCTTTAAACAATGCTAAATGCTCTAAATTTGTATAATTTCACTCAATTTATCGCAGTTAGATGAAATAGCGTAAGCCTTGAAAGTATCCGTCGATTTCGACGGGTTTCGCCTAGTTGAATATATTTGTTTTGGATATTTAGTGTTTAAAGCACACATTTGCAAAAGGGAAGCTTAAAAAAGTGAGCTTAGCAAAATCACTAATTCGGGTAGCCTAAGTCATAATTAATTCGTTATAATGGATGATTCTTTAAATTTCCAAACACTATGCATTGCGAAATAACATTTTTATTTGTTAGTATTTTCTAAACTAGTTTGCACTTAAGAAAATATACTCACTAAAATAGACGAATATATCTTTTTTAATAAACCAATGAAAAGTAGGCCTAGTGATATATTCTCTGAACCTAATGTGGCTCAACGACATTTTCAGTGGTGAACCTCTACTTCGCAATCGTTGTGTTCAGTTATTACCTAGAGAGAAAGGAAGAGACGCAGTTTTTGACAACTTTGGATGAACCAATGAGGTCTGCACTTGAACGACAAAGGGACCAAGCTAAAGAACAAGGGGTTCCCGACCCTATGAGGGCAGCTCTTATGAAATATAGAACCGATATTAAAGAAGAAAAAAGAAAGGAAAGTCAACTAAATCAAGCAGGCTCCTCTCAGCCAACTCCAGGGAATTAAAATTAAATTACAAATGTCATAAGATATTAAAAATTGAAAATATATCGACCGAAATGTTTTGTACTATTATTGTTTATTTTTTTCACAGTAAACTATAAATAAAGTACAATAAATTTCGTGAAAATGGGCTTATTCAAAGTTTTAAGAACATTGATTTTAAACGTTACACCATTAAAGGACACACAGTTGTATTTTTATTACTTGACATTATTCAAGTAAAATATTTTAAATGATCCAGATTTTCTGAAAGTAGAAGATTAAATTTTAATGAAGATATCGCTAAAATGCAATAAAATTCGTCCTCATTCAAGACTGGCGTATAGTAGAAATACATGCAATTTTGATGATAAGCGTCACTATTACTGTACCAAAGGTAATTTAGTCTACTATAAAACTAGATATAGAAAGAATTAGTAGTTAGATGGAAGTCACCTTCCTCAAGTGTTCCAATTCATGATCAGTTGTTCAAAGAAATTTAATTTTTCACATCATAAGCTATACAAAAAGAATTATGGTAAAATTTGTTAGGAATTTGTAGACAACACCATGACATATCGTGAGGGTTTTAGCTAACACTGGGAAATAGTTTATTTTGGGAATATATAGCTCGACATTTTGTTTATCTCAATAGCAAGCTTTAAAATCCACAAGCACCTATGGGAAATGACAGTTTTTAGATGTTGATTTTAATTTTTAAAGTAGTAACTACCATAACCACGGTCATATAGTGACGCCTTCAACAGCTGGTGGGTTTTCATTACTCTACTGTTGGGCGGACCTGCGTCGGAACTATTGAAGGAAGCAGACTATGTCTACTACGAAACGAGTTCATATACTACGCAATGTTGGTGATCAGATAGGCCATTTACCTTTTCTAGGTACCTTATCGTGAATGCTTTCCACCAACGAATTTCAAACCCAACTCTACTAAGCCACCAAACCTACATATATACTAAATGTAGGACTAAGAATAATCATTTTTTGCGTAACCTCTAAATATGTTCACACCATACTCTCTTAAATTGACTTTGCTGCCAGATCCGGACTCGTTGTCGTCAACGAGGGCAACACGCCAACTTTCCGGCGCCCTGGGATGCGGGGAACGATCCCAGACATTACCCTTGCATCTGAGTCCCATTTGCCAAGGATCAGAGCCTGGAGAGTCCTCGTCATCAGGGACGAGTAGCTTCGTTTCGTCAAGTGCCCGTTCGATGGAACTAAAAAAAAAAATGGACGTGGCAAAATGAAATAAAGCCATCTTACGAGAAACCCCGGTGGTTCCTCCCGCATCTGACATGGCTCATTGAGAGGCGGTAGTTACATCCATGATGGGACTGATCGTTTAGGCTTGCAATGAGTCTATGCCTCGCAGGAGATCCCCGTGCAATAAGCGACCTGTGTACTGGTGGACTGCCGAGATTGCGGAATTGCGTCGGTCAGCATTGAGAGCCAGAAGACTTGCTACCAGGGCCAGAGAGCCTGTAGACAGACGTCGTAAGTCGGATGCTTACAGAGTGGCTAGCAGGTCTCTTCGTCGAGCCATCAACCGGAGTAAACGCAGTTGCTGGGAGACATTAAGGGACGATGTCGATTCCAATCCGTGGTAACCAAACTTGTAACCAAGAAACTTGGCACCCGCTCTTCACCTTTCGTCATGAATGGGGCCACAATGGAGAGGATAGTCGAGTCCCTTTTCCCGGCTCACACGTTGCGCCCACTGAGGGATTTCTGAAGGGTAATTGACGTACCACTTTTCAGTTTTGGAGATATGGAGGCGGCCGTCCTATCCCTGAAGAACAATAAGGCTACTGGACCCGATGGGGTACCCGGCGAAGTCCTCAAGAAGGTTTTGACTATCAACCCTTTGATCCTTTTGCGCATGTAACGCTTGCCTAGTCGAAGAAGTTTTCCCGTCGTGCTGGAAAACTGCTAGGCTTGTGCTTGTTGGGAAGGGGAAGGGAGACCCAGATCTGCCATCCTCTTACAGACCTCTGTGTATGTTGGATACGGCTGGCAAAGTCCTCGAGAAGTTGATCCGTTCCCGACTGAATTCAGCCGTGGTCGCTGTGGGGGACCTGTCCCCTCGCCAGTATGGATTCAGGATGGGGCGATCTACGGTTGACGCTGTTGAGGGGGTGAAGCAAGCCGTGATGAGAGCTAAAGACTTTAACCACTACTTTCGTAGGGTTGTGCTACTCGTAACGCTCGATATGCGTTTAATTCCGCGAGGTGGTGCGATATGCTGGATGCTCTGGAGAACACCTTCCACGTTCCGGCATATCTCATGTGCATCATAGAGGATTATCTCCGGTTTCACCTCCTCACGTATGACACTGCGGAGGGCCCGCGGACGATGAGTGTCACTTCTGGTGCTGCCCAGGGTTCCATACTCGGCCCAGACCTCTGGAACCTCGCTTATGACAGCCTTTTGAGGTCTGAAATGCCTGAGGAAACTGTTTTGGTTGGGTACGCAGACGACGTTGCAGCTTTGATAGCTGCACGTAGCGTTCAGCTGGCTCAGCTAAAGCTAAACCGAGTTATGCGTACCATAAACGCATGGATGGCAGACCACGGTCTCTCGCTTGCTCTGAGCAAAACCGAGATCGTGATTTTGACAAAAAACGGATTGACACCATCGTGCCGCCGTTGAGGGTGAGAGCCGTCGAGGTTCAAACTGTTCGTTCTGCCAAGTAACTTGGGGTTATGGTGGACATCAAGCTTTGCTGGCGGGAACAGATTTTCCGTACGGCGGACAAGGCCGCTAGGGTGGTCTTCTCTCTTAGCCGGTTGATGGCCAATATCGGAGGTCCTCGGTCCAGCCGTAGAGGGCTGTTAATGTCTTCTGTCTAGTCCGTACTCTTGTATGGTGCTGAGGTGTGGGCAGACGCTCTCAATAAGGAGGTATAAAGGATGCGGCTCGAACGAGTGCAGCGTCAGGCAGCACTAAGAGTTGCATCCGCCTACCGAACAGTGTCCGAACCCGCCGTCCTGGTGGTTGCTGGAGTCATCCACGTCAAACTTTTGGCGGCGGAGAGAAAAGCAATTTATCAGCGCCGTGGGGAGGACCAGGCACGAACAGAGGAACGCATCCGCACCTAAACAGCTGTGGCAGGAGAGCTGGGAACAGGAGACTCGGGGACGCTGGACCAGGCGACTGATACAGCAAGTCCAACCTTGGGTTAATCGGCGGTGCGGAGAGGTGGACTTCTACCTCACCCAATTTTTGACGGGTCCCGGTTTTTTCCGGTCGTACCTGTTTAGGATGGGCAAAACCGTGTCACCCGATTGCATATACTGCCCAGGCATTCCCGATGACGTGGAACATACCTTTTCCCACTGCCAGCGTTGGGAAAGGCCCCGCCTGAAGGTTCAACAGTTAGTAGGAGTGCTGTCAGTGGACACGGTCATACCGATGATGACGAAGGGTGAGGACAATTGGACCTGTGTTTCACTTTACATCCAGGGTATTCTCCGCGACAAGAAGCTCAACCTTGACCAGGATGCGGTGTAGGTTATAAAGTATCTAAATACCAAAAACAGTGCGAGCCTTGAGGACTTAGGTCACATGTTGGCCTGACTTGAAGTAATGTGACAAACAATTCCAGGTCTGTGTCCAACAGAGTAGAGGGGGTTTTTTAGTGAGTAGTTTGTGATAGTTTCAGGAGTCTCACACTACAGGACGGCTACCTGTGTGCGTAAAAGCATTTTCCCTCCTCTCCCTTAGAAAAAAACTCTCTTTCAAAATGCTTTCAACTTTTAATTGTTAATAAAACTCACAGATTAAACTGCTTTACTAGTTCTTGTTAGACTACACAGAAGTCTGGTTCGGCGTAGGCATTTGTGTGTTCGAAGGCAGCAGAGGGGTGTTTAAAGGAGGTGCTGAGGGAATTGTTGAAGGACCTTGGCCAGGATTTCTTCCTCCCTCAGGCTGGTTCATCGGTGTCGTGTTTTCATTTCCACCCCCAAGAGGGTGCGTTACCTGTTGGTTGGTCTCAATGAATTCCCCATAGCTGTACCATACTGCGGCGAAGTACAGGAGGATTACTGCAATGAGAAGTAGTCGTTATGAAATGTACAATTCGCAAATTAAGACACAAGATTAAGATAGTATTGTACAAGGTCGACGCTTCATAATTGACTCCTGTAACAGGTTGGCAGGAAGACCATACTCTCCTAAGGCTACACAATACATCCCATTGATGTACGAAAGTATGAATTTAAGTAGAATACCTGCTTGAAAGGTATAAATTTATGATGAGAAATAAATTGAGGCAAAGCCAACTTTAATTAGCTGTTCAGAATATCCCTTGAGTTAACGTAAGATTTTCTTTTTTAACTGTATAGATGTTGATATTCTCTCATTGGTGGTAATAATTAACAACTGGCTTAGATGATTATTGTGTCTTTAGTAAATAGTCCTAACCAGCTAATTTTAGTCAATGACAATTAATAACTATACAGGCATTCTAATATGAACTTCTTCAGTATACAATTATATTTTAATTATGTATTGCTATAGTAAATGCACCCAAGAGTAAATCTGTCTCAAACATTGAGTTCTATTACAGTGGAAATAACTGATTGTGTGTCGATGTTTTAGGGTTAATAAACTATAGACTCTCTTATCGCTATATTTGACATACGAAACGTTACAGTGCTACGCAAAGCAAATAACTACGGTTCATTTCCTAAGGGTAATGACATAAATGCTGTACAGTGTTAGTTTTAAATCTTAAGTATTGACACTTTTAGTCTAATGATTAGTCTAATAAAAAACCCTTTAGTCGGAGCCAGACCGATTATTTCTATTTACAAAATTTTTTGCATTATATATATTTTATAGCATTAATATATGTATTGCTGATGTAAGCACTTTGAAAAAAATATATATAAAATATCGCGACAGCTAGTTTTGAGTCCGTGTTATTTCAAAACGGGAGGTATAGTTCGGCCGCTTAGAAAACGACCTGCGCGCTGATGCTAAACCAATGGTGGAGAAGGTCGTTTTCTAAGCGGCCGAACTATAGTATAGGCTACTCATGACATTGGAAAATGTTGTAGAAAAGTGACAAAGCAGCTGCAAGTATCACGAAGGAGGCTAGAGTAGCTAGAAGAAAAAAGAATGCTCATACAGAAAGTGGACGAAGAGGCAGCGTTATGATCCTCAATATAGAAAGGCCTAATTTATGATAAATATTGCTTGCGGTAGGTGATACAGGGTTGTACCCTACCCTTTCCCCCCACTTTTTCCGAAAGTTTAACTTAATTATAATAAAGGTACACAATACACATATCTCTGGAACTAATTAACCTATAGGCTTGCATTTTTTTATACATAACTGTTGGGTTATAAGTAATATTTAGACCCATTTGCATTACTGTAAAATTGCTAGTTTTCAAGAAAAAAAAATATGACTTTTGTAAACTTTTTGTGTCATATAAAAACAGTTTATAAGGTAATACTTAATGGAACATTCTGAAATTGGGTCTGTTTACACATAAAGGTTTGATAACTATAGCCTACACCTTTGAAGGTCATAGCTTTTAACCTTTTTAAGAAATTGTACCTAAAGATGAAGAAATTTAACATTGGCGAGATAGGCCATTCCCGCTCCCCCTAACGGTTCATAAGACAAGGCAAAGAGTAAATCAAACTAGACCTGTTACAATATTTTACTAAACTGCCAATTTTACTAACTTATGTCAAATGGTTCAACAACGGTTAGTTATATACTTATTATTATGGCTGGTTGCATTCTTAATCAAATTAATCAAGTAGTTCATTTTCTTATGGTAATCATACTTACCTAAAAGTAGTAGTTCATAGAACCATGGCCACCTCTCCCCACTATATGGTAATCCATAGACGATAAACTGAAAGGAATGTAGTATGGCCACAAACACTCCAGCTACCTTTAGAACTATGGAGACTTTCTAAACAAACATTAAAGGTTTGGTAGAGTTGGAAAATATAGAACTGTAATGCAGTTTAGAATAATGCGAAATACACTAAATAACTTTCAGTTACATGAAAATCCTACTCTAGTGTACAATGTAGCAAAACTAAAATAAAATAGTTAAATATCCACTCATCATTTTAAGATGATGTAAATTCTTAGAAGTATTGACCACCTCAAATGTGTTTCCTACTAGGATTTATTGCAATCAATTCACGTGAATAAAAATTTCAAAAAATCTATGTATTTTTTCTTATTTTATTGTTTGGGAACAGAAAAAGTTAAAAGTTTTTGATGCTTCAATTTCGGTCACTTGTGAAATTCGCAATACACACAATATTTTTTTTATTTTGCATATAATGCTCGTTGAGAAGTTGTAGTCTTGTATAGATCCAAATAATAAATAGTGAACAGTAATTTAGCAGAATTTACTTATAAAAATACGTCTAGATTAAAAAATGTAAAAAATATACAGTTTTTACCTTAATCGTAGCGTAAATAACTCCAATAGAGACCACAATGGCAACTGCATCCGAAACAACACGGAGTATATTAACTGAAAACCATTTTTAAATTATTGATTTTAGTTGGAAACATGTTGCTCGTATCATAAAAAAGGTGTTTTTGTGAATTCACCACCTTATAAGCTCCAATTCATTTTCCCACTTCACTATTAGCATCTAGATTATATTAGATGAAGTAGAGGATCGGGTTTATTACAATGGCTTTAGAATTCTGTTGCTTGAATCAGAATATTAATTTTATCTATTAGGTTATGGTTGGACGCGAACGGACTGGCTAAAACCGAAGCAGTAACCCGCGTACGGCTCCGTTTTTAGCTATCAATTAAAAAATCTCTGTCACTGTTAAAATGTTTCAGAGAAACATAATTTACTGTATGTTTGCCAATTGTTTCTCGTTTGTTCGTGGGACACTTGGAAACATTTCTAAAACAAAATTGTGACGAATTTCAAACTGGAGTGTGATGTTTGTATACAGTCAAGAAACAATTCAATAAAATATACCTTGTTTTAGAGACGAGATAATTTGTTTGTTTTTCCTATGAAAAAGAAAATATTCAAGCAAGAAATTAGAATAAAACCTCATATACTTATAGTACTATCCAATAAAGGAGGTTGATACATTTAAAAACCCTACACCGTTTTCTAAAGGGCTGAAATAAGGTTCCAATTGCAATATGTACCTTCTCAAACATTCTTCTTGTCTAAATATTGTTAAAGAGGACATATAAGTGAGAAATATCAATCAGTCATTTTGTCCCTCAATGATAAAAACGACACTTAATTGAGGAATACATAACAGGGAAAATCCAAAAGTACGTCTTCTTCACACAGTATATTTTACTAAAGTGTTTGTTAAACGTATGCTGAATGATCGTGGAAAGACAAAAATCGTTCTTGTGGTAATTTAACGTAAAATAACCTTTAAAGTCAGCCAAATATACTACTAATTATATGTAAATACAGTATTTTGGTTTCATACTTATTAGTACTCTGGTCCTCTGTTCAATGTTTTCGTCGTCTTCATTTTCCTCCGGTCCCAATTGATCTAATATCTCTTTGCATTTGTGAATCCTCCATAAATTGCTTGCCTTAAATAACCAATGATATAAGTTAATAAGAAATAAGTTCTTTATGTTGGAAATATAAGATATTATTCATGAATACAGTTAATATTGGGTTGAAGTATGTTCTGTTCCAAACCAATTAATAAGTACATGTAGTTTTTATTACTATGGTTGATAATTTAGTTTAACTAGAAGTTGGCCTAAAATATTTCTGAAGAGATCCAGTGTTCTGTAAATCAATTGAAAACTCTTCTTTATTGAGGCAAAATTAAGACCTCTTATCATGGTCCATTCTTCCAGTTAGCCTCTAGAAAACTACCAATAACGTAAAATTTACAAAAGTAAAAACAACAAAGTTTGTAATAATTTAAAATCATATATATGAAAACGTGATAGGGTTTATTTATTTCACGATTCAGAATCAACCACTTGGATATTCATGATTTTTGTGTTAAAAGAAAGATAATTTTGAGAACTAGAGAATGTTGAAGCCATAATTTTAGTTTACGAATTCGGTTTTTTAGAAAATAAGTTTACATTTTGAACTGTCTAGCAGCAGACACTAACATTCTACACTAGCTTTGGTATTGCTGGAAACATAGGCGTTTCTGACACAAATTCAGAATTTGGATAATAATGACATGCATAGGATTAACTTATTTATACTGTGTGTAATGCTATACTCATTGATACGTTCATTTATTTGGTAAGAGGATGAAAGACTATTAAATTATACATCGTAAACATCATGCTAGATGTTATTTTTTAGAGCTTTCTTTATCATTTTTAGTTTGTTTTATTACAATGTAATTATTTTAACTATATAAAAAAAATAAAAATATTACGATTGAAATGTAAAAATATTCTATAGAACTTTAAGGTTAGTTTATTATTCTGTAATTTTGCCATTGATTATAAGAAATAATTAAATTCTATAACCAATGATTTAAGCAAATTGAGGCTCTGCCCTCGAGCCTTCAAAAGAAAGGTTATGCAAAATTATTTATTTTCCTGTTCGACTTTTTGGGAAAAGAATAGGCAACTAACAATGTTTACATGTTTTAATTCATCTTGGCAGCTTTTTGTTTACAATAAATGTTTAACCGCTTAAACTTTGCTTGAATTATAAATGGAAATATTGTCATAACTTTAAGTTTTTGTTGACAGCTCGTTTAAACAGAAAATACTAACAACAATGATACATATACGTGCAATCTATAAGGAGAGAGTGACTAATTAATTAATTAGGATGGGGCACGTCCACTGATTGCACACTTAAACGGGGGTCTTAGCTTGTATAGTTAAAAGTGAAACTCTGTAGAAGTATACACTCACAAATTACTTAAAATCCGGGTTAGCTTTTGCTAATTCGATTGAGGACGATAAGCATTAATATGTCTAACCGCGGTAGAAAATAAAATATTAATATTTACTTAAATGATGAATGAAATATGATACTAGAATTTCAATTGACCAATATATCTACATTTAAAAAAACTATTTATATTAACTTACGATTTGAAAAACTGCAAACAAATAACAGCCGAGCCACAGTGGAAGAAAGAAACAGAATTTTCTTAGCAAAGCCATCAAATAAAGTTAGAAGTCAGCTGAAAAGTTAGAATTAGTTTTAATTTTTTTATTTCTCTTCAAGACTACACTTGATACCCCAGTGTTACTTGAACATTAAAAATATATACTTACGTAGTAAAAAATTCTATTTGTAACAGGACCTACTTTTTTCTTTCTGTTAGCTAAATCATTGTTATTTATACGAATCTATGAATGGATATGTTTGACTTATATTTTAGTATTTTTTTTCTAACATTTGATATTATGTTGGGCCATACCATATATTTTGTTGAATGCATGACATGTACTTTTGCATTATAGAAAACAATAGGTTATGAAAGCAATCGCTATTAACTACAAACAGAAAGCATCCTTGACATTCATAACTGGTATTGTACAATGGTAGTTTTGTTATTACAAATAACATATCTATGTTTTACTCTTTACAAAGTAATTTTCGCATAAAATCAAAAACTAACTACATTACCATCTCACATAGTTGATATCAACGTCTTGGGTTTTATGATGTATAGTAAGGTTCTAATGTATTCTATTCTGTTTATTTTTTAAATAATATACATATCAACTATCTCTTTGAAACTATTCTTTAGCGTTTGTGAAATGAATTCAATATGTCCAATCTCGTCCACATATTTTTATGTTTATCTACTACAAACCAGTAAGTTTGAATTATTGATGAAATAAAAGTCCTCACTCTTAAAAATTAGATTATTGTTGAATTATGTTTACCTGATGTGTATTTAATTTTCTTCTCCCTTACAAGACGAATGATTTACCACTAGAATTTAAAACACTATTAGATAAATTTTAGTTTAAAAATGTTGTTACTTAGCGCTAAGCAACGGTTATAGAATTGTTTCAGTGTTAAAAAGCTTTATAAACTTTTTATTACATTGATCAATAAATTTATTTAATTTTTGGTAAAACTGTCTAAACTTCTATTTGGGTTATTTTCAACGTTTTCTTTTCATTTTCCAACAACACCACAAAACCCGTTGTTTTATATTGATGAAAATATCTATAACATAACTATAATATATCTGCTGCCTAAAATAAATATTTGATTTTCAATATTGCCTGGTAATCACTAATTCCACGGATTATCTATGTGTCAGATCTCCTAAAATAATCTACAAAATTGTGCTCATACAAATTACGAACGTATCATAGACCTTTTGAACAGAAATACACCTTTTTTAACTTTAACACTAAGTTTAACATGTACCTCTTTACATAATAAAATAAGATGAATCCATTCACAAATACATTTAAATATAGACAAAGGTTTACAGTACACACACAAACATTAGGTTTCAGTTCATCTTAAACTTTTGCATTCCGTTTTTCCAACTCTTCTTTGTCTCGGAGTTCAGCACCATAGGACCATAGCACGAGCGAGAAGTATATTGTGATCACTGAAATAAAATATTATACATACAATAAACACGCAAAATTTCCTCTTGAAAATTATATGCGAGAACAACTAAAACTAGTGTTATAAAAGTAAATACTAACTAGAAAGCAAGCTTGAATGTAGGATTATAGATATTTTACTGAACTTTTGAAAGTTTGAATGTCAACACGTACGTCGTACATTGTTCTTTTTTAATAGCTGTTTAATCAGTCACTGATTTTACGGTGTTGATTCACCCATAGAGTCGTTGATTGTAGTGTCCAATCGAAGTCAATCACTATTGCCACCTCTTATATGTTTCAAGTGTTAATTGACGAAATGTTATTTACTCTTCGTATCTTTATTTGTAGGATCTTAATTTATATGAATATATACTTACATATAACAATTGAGTAAATAGCTAAATCGTATTTATTCTCATTCACAACGAAATATCTGACAATTACTTCAACCCATTTAAAAATAGCGAGCACCAGAAAACACGTTGCCGCCGTGAAGAAGTAGTGAGCAGCTTTCTGGAACATATCGTTTCCAAGTCATCTTACTATAAAAAAGCGATTGAAAAGACCAAACCTACAACTACATTATATTACACTTAATTAATTACTAACTTACTAAATTTAACATAATTTGCCGATACATTAAAATTATTGAAATTGTACTTATGCCAACCTGCATAATTCAGTTTTCTGACTGGATTTGTACCCAAATATTTCTATAAAAAGACATATATATATACATATTCTCCTTTTAAATCACAATATGACGAGTACTATGGTTTGTTGCTACGGGGAAGGTAATACGTGTTTCTGGCCAAATGTTAATAGTATGGGGCGAAATAAATAATTTTTGCTAATATTTTTAACTCATAAACCCATAAGCAAGCAAAGTAATGCAGTTTTCTGTTTTTTCAAGAATAACATGGGGAATTTAAATGAAAAGTTTATTTTTTTCATAACTTATAACGGTAGCAAAACGCTTCAATAAACAAAATGATTTGTTTTCAAGCTGATGTTTAATTGTAAACTTAAAAATCTATGTATAAACAATCAAACGAACAGTATTGTTGGCCTATGTAAACATAAAAATGAAAAAGGTATATCGGCCAAAAGTCTAGGTCTCAACAACGGCAATAACGTCTTTCCTATAGTGACATTTACTTACAGTAGTTCTTACACATAGCAGCCTATGGTTAAAAGTTTAACCTGTTAACCTTTTTTCATAATCTTTCTACATAATAGTAAAGCATTAAAATTATAAAGTTATAAAAAAAGATAATAAAAAGGCACATACCCTCAAAACTCCCACTAACACCACAACAGATATCAAGGCTTCTAAAATTCCAAACAGCACCAGAAACCTAAACCCTACATAAAGATTTAATTATATTATTTGTATATACAAAGGTTATACAATCATATAAAAATCTGAATACCAGTTACTTGTAGATAACTATGATACAAAAGAATCAACTCTCTGATTAAAGTGAGCAATTAAAAATAAATAATTTTTCTTAGTTCATCATAAATAGTTCCTATAGCATTTTTCTCTTTTTACCTTAAGCTAGATGTGCGCAAAGGTATGTCTAGCTAAAAAAAAAAATACACACACACTTGAAGTATTGTAAACCAGTATACAATTATGGGAAACCTTTAAAATATTATTTCGAGAGAAATTTATCTTTTCAACATTTTCTTTCTTCTTATGGAATTTTTTGCTATTCTTTTTTCAAATAGGCAATATCGTTTATGGTAAATCATATTACTGTAATCTTGATGAATCCTATATTGAAGTTTGTTTATGTGCTAGTTTTATCATTTGAGTTGATTAATGATAAAAAAATTGCTATACATAAACGACAAGTACAATCAAACGGAAGATAAGTTTAAATATATAATAATGTGTTTAAGCATTCAATGTTATTACATTTCCATATATTAATAGTAAACTTACATGACCGGTGGTACCTCAATTCTCTACCCGTCAATATGAAATCTCCTTCCAACTCATTATTGTAGGTTACTACGAGATATGCCAACCAAACTACGGATACAATCTGTAAAGGATTTTGCACAATAGAAGATTATTATTAAGTCGTCTTGTTTTCATATAGTTTTACTCCCAATGAATCACGGAAACGCAACATAATCATTATGCTAACATTACATGTGATCTTAGCAAACATTTTGGTAAACCCGGAATACAACTAAAACTGATTCACAAGAAAATGTATATTTATTTACAAATATTTACTAAAAAAATCTCCTCTTGGTGTAAACTGTTTTTATAAACCGAAAGTAAGCACACATAAAATATACATTTATCGTGAAACCCAGTTTGGTAAATGTTTTTTTATATACTAAATTTTAAAAGGTAGAAACAACAATTTGCTATCCAATAACTTCGAATTTTCAAAACACTCATTGTACCCATTGTCCAACTCATGATTAAACAATGAAAAGGTGATGCTGTTATTATCATAATGCTTGAAAATTATAATGACATAATCCATCATATTCATTCTTCCAATCATGTACATGTCAAGATTGTAATATATTAGTCTGGTGTAATCAAATGTCTCACAAAATAAAATTTTTTTATGACATTGTTACTTACAGAGCCTGCAACACCTATTAGAGTACTGGCCAAGCGCAGATTTATACAAAACAGGCATTTTGAAAGTGCAAAAACCATTTTAAATTTTTAAAAATTTACAAAGAAAGATTCAACTCAGCACATAGCAACAAGCTTCAATGTTATTTCAAACATTTTAACAGCTATGATATAGTTTGTTGTAATTAAAATATATTTATTTATTGCATCATTCTATTATGGTGTTGTTGGAGTAAGGTAAACATGTCAATAAATTATCGATATCCGTAAGGATCCTGGTCGTCCCATTCATCGTCATAATAATCAAACTCTTCTTCTTCTTCTTCTAGCAGTTGTTGAGCGTAGCTCCAGAGAATTGAAGTGAAATAGAGAACCAAAACTGAAATAAACTTGAACTTGAAATATTAGTTAAACATCTAAAAATAAATAAACATTTATCTCCGTTCTATGACTATGAGGAATGATCCAATCTAGTGTTAGAGGTTGCGGCTTCAAATTCCGCTAATAACCCATTTATGTTATACAGGGTGTCCATAAAAAACTTTTCAGAACTTTGGGAAATGAATCCTCATACTAAAAGGAAGAATACAGTTTATCTGAAGGTATGTCCGAAAATGCATATTTATCCAGTTATCCACCATTTTGTTTTTTATACAAAAATATTTTTATATGTGAAGTTTTTCGTTTGATGATTATAGTTGATGATTGATTATTCATGATTAACATACACAAGACCTATAATAGAAAAACATGATAAAGTTGTTCCAATTGTAAATTTTAAAATGGCAGCTGTTTGAATTTTTCTAACTTAAATAACTCAAAAACGGCTAATTCTATGAAAAAAAAAATGTTAAGAATATTTTTCTGTAGCATTTTTAATTCCCTATCAAACGATACCAAGATCAAACAGATCGGAAAAAAGGTAACTGAAATATAAAGTTTTTTGTGTAAAAATAAGGCAAAGTTAGTCGTGGAACCCTTAATTTTTACTTCACAGATAAAAATATTTTTGTATAAAAACAAAATGGCGGATAGCTGGGTAAATATGCATTTTTGGACATACCTTCAAAAACTTTTTTCTTCCTTTTAGTATGAGAATTCATTCCCCAAAATCCTGTAACGATACCAAGATCAAACAGATCGGAAAAAAGGTAACTGAAATATAAAGTTTTTTGTGCAAAAATAAGGCAAAGTTAGTCGTGGAACCCTTAAATTTTACTTCACAGATAAAAATATTTTTGTATAAAAAACAAAATGGTGGATAACTGGGTAAATATGCATTTTCGAACATACCTTCAGAAAAACATTTTTCTTCCTTTTAGTATGAGAATTCATTCCCCAAAGTCCTGAAACGTTTTTTATGGACACCCTGTATAAGTGATAATACCGCAACCCAAATTCCTAGCCTGAAGCAATGTGAAAAAAAACAATCCCGGGCTAGAATCCGGCAATGTTGGATAAAACATCAAACAAACTCTTCTGTGAATTTAATGTTCACTTAAAATCCATCTATGATGAATTATAAACCCTTGTACAAAACTACAACTTCTATCATTTGTAGTAACCTTTTGTATTTGTGAAAACTGTTGAAGTTTAAATATTAATTTATATCATGGAATATCTTGAACACAGCATTTGATTTGCATTGTTAGGTTTTAAAAATCTTTTAAATAAGGCTTGAAAATGTTTTTCTATTTAAATATATAGTATTAATATTATGTAAATAATGATCATGTTAATTAAATAGAGTTTTAATGAATGAAAGAGAGAAAATAGTTTTAAAGGGAATATTGGTGAAAAAGTCACATTATCTTATTTTGAAGAGGGCAAGATCAATATACTTACAAAACGAGACAACAGCTGAAATCAACCCCTGAGATCCAATACCGGAGGCGGCAAACCTTATGAGTTCAACAATAATTTGAAAGACGAAAACAGAAAACAATGTAACAGCTGCAGCTATTAACAGTCTGGGCAATTCCTGTCAAACATTTCACTATTAAATGGTGATTGTGAGTAAAATCTGGAGTTAAAAATCAAACCAAATATAGAAAAGACATATATTTAAAAATAAATACGTTACAGTTAACTTGTAAAAATGCTCACTAAGTAATATATATTCTCAAACAAAAATGTTGGGATTGGGTTTTGACAAAATAGCTTGGATATAGCTGATGCAATTATTATTTAACATGAAGATCGATCACTTTTGATTCGGATTAATTTAGCGATACTTTGTATATAAAAATTTGATACCTTTTTCTCTAAGTTTTTCTGTGTATATATTTTTTTTAATACGTACACTCAACCATCGTCCTACATCAATCTATAGTTTCCTCATAATTAAGACTTTATGCAAGTAATGCTTATAAGTTCGATTTATTGGTACTATTTGTCACATACCTCTTCACTTCTTGAATTAGCATTAAGTGTTCGATTTTGTTTAACACATCTATCAAATAAAATGGTTCAAGCATCCCTTGGTGCATAAATCAATGTGTTTTTGGAACAAATTTAATTAGTGGATAGTAAATCAGTTTAAACCGTTTTAAAGTGTTCAGGCTACCATAGTAAATAACGTTTTGAAATTTAAATTAAAGATAATGGACGAATTACTGGAAATATGTCAAATGTTTGTTATAATAAATCGTTTTGTAGTTTAGGATAAAGTTTAATCCTTGAAGCCCTTTGTAAGCATAGGTTTGTTTTAAGGTTGCAAGTTATTAATCATACTTACCTTCCAAACAGATATCAAAATAACCAGCCCAGCAATGATTTTCAAAACTTGACATACCACAAGGATGACAAGAACTGAAAGAATTATTTTATTTAATAAATATCAAACAACTTTTATTAATACATTTTAAGACTATACTTACTCAATTTTCAGTTTTAACTCAATTTAGTAATGTTACAGTGTTGTAGTTATTGCCCGCTTACTATGTTTGTTTATAAAAGTGATATGTTATTATACATTTTTTTTTAGTTTAAAACTAGCAGTAGATTAAAACCATAGTTTTTGTTTGGAGACCATTGCATTTACAAATTGGTCTCGATAACCAACAGTCAAAATAGTACCTTATTTCCAAATAATTAAAAAATTCAATCATCTTTTAAAACAAGTAAAATTTGTAGTGTAAATTTTCGGCAAATAGGCCTACTTTAATACAAAACATCTTGCAGAGTATTTTTTTTAAACTAAACTTAATTTTTTTTAAACTGTTCTAAATTATAACGAACTTTGTTAACATACCAAAAATATATAAGTGTTGAAATAATTGCACAAAATAGTTTAATCATTGTGAACATCAACAGTAAAGATAATGTGGTCGTGATGAAGTCTAAAGCTTAAACATGCCTAAGCTAGTTAATTTTAAGATAGAGGGTGTCCAAAACTTCTCATACGATATATTAAGGTCTCATTCAAATATCATGTTAAAAACTTCTAGAACTCAAAAGTTACCCATACGTACAGCCACCATTATTTAACAAAAAGCTTTTATTTAGATAACAATAGTCTTACTTAAATACAAATTTGTAGATAGATTACTAACGTGAAGAACTTTTTTGAGAAACAAAATATTTTCATATTTTTTAGTTGAAAACATAAGGTAGGTAATTTTTAAAACATTTAAAGTTTGAAAAAGATACATACTACATAGTTAAACAAAAATACAGTAGCAGTGACTAATTTAGACAATTTTGTTTAACTTTTATCGATACTAATTTAATAATTTTTTTATAAAAGGGACCATTCATTTTTAGGACACACTGTATCAACCAATACCTGTGGACATTGGGTAACATCCCTCCTATTTAGCTAAAACAATCAGCTGTTGTATTTGCTTGTTATGCAATGAGCGCAAATTGTTTACATAAAGCATCTTTAAACCCCCTTTTCTCCCTCATTTAAGAACCTCTCAATAGATGTAGGTTTTGTTATTTAAATAAAAAAAATAAACAGCCACGATTTTGAAACCAATCATGAAAAGTTTTTCTGAGTATATCGTATTACATTATTAATACCAATTAGTTTTTATGTTTATCAATAAAAAATAGTTTATATTGAAAATCAGCTGTAATTATACAGTATAAAGGATATCGTTTTGTAAATTTTAAACATGATATTTCAATTTGTCTTTAGTCCATGAATGGTACCTTAATTTTTTGAATGATAATTGAATGGTCCATGATAAGTAGTGTGTTCGGGAAGACCCTATATAGCTGATAAGCCCAGAATGTACCAACCTTGCTTGAAACCCAGGTGTACACATTATATACTTACATTGTTTTACATGGCGTTTTTGTTTCACGTTTTCTTCATCTTCATTTTCCTCCTTTCTCAAATACTGAGCCTCATATATTAAATACCCAAGAGTAATAATGCTAGATATCTGAAAGTGGATTTCTTATGAAATTATTATGTAAAGTTGTTAGCTGACTAGAAGATCATGGGAAAATATCAACTACAACGATTGAAACGCTGTTATACAATTAAAATTAATTAATTAAAAGCTTCAGTGGGGGGAAGGTTTCCAGTTGACGCAAACATCAAACAGAATGTACAGTAGGCGAGCTATTCTAGTAGAATGCAGGGTTCTGGTACGAATAGATTATACTAAGTGATAATGCCACAACAAATTTAAGTTAGCCAGAATAATGTGTAAAACGGTGCCAGCCTAGAGCCCAGCATCCTAAAGAAGATAAAAAATGTAAATCCTATATATTCAAGGCAGAGTAAATAACATGTTTGAAAAACTAAAACTTGCACATTCTTCCTTGTAAAGACACGCTCAATATTAAACTTAGAATCATATTCAATGAAAAAAATGCTTATATTTTATTATTGCTATTTATGTTTTTAACCAACTTTTTTGATTAATTGTGTGAAGTAGACAGAAGTAACATAAATTAAATAACTCGGTTCATCCTAACCTAAACCTTGCCTAATCTAACATAACTTATAATTATTTAATGCAGTCACAAACTCGCATGAAGCTCAACCTAAATTTTTCTCGTCACTTTTCTGTCATCAGACGAGGAAGAAAGCTGCACATGTAATCAGACTGTCTATGATTTTTTTTAAATAAGAGGTAATTAAATTGACATAATATATTGAATACTTTAAGGGTGGGCTCCACCCTGAAAGATGAAAAAGAATCACTGAACGAAATCAAAGTCTAATGACCTCTTGTTCATACTTTTGAACAATTTGATAATACAAAAATATGTTGGCAATTTTCTACAATATATGATAAATATATTTTAATCTAAAAAATAAAAGACAAGTCAACTCCATATACCTTGATCCAGTTGAACAGCTTCAACTATAACCATACAGGGTGAGTTTTAATTGCACCCCCCCCCCCCCAACTTTTTTCTACATTTTTTCAAATATCAATCCCAGACCACTTCCAAACATTGTTGGGTAGTAAGTACTTCATTTTGACAAGGTGGTCATTTCCGGCCGCCATCTTGGATCCGCCATATTGGATGCAAAATTTTTTTTCAAAGGTAAAGGTGAGGTTGTGACCCATTATTTCGAACTAGATTTTTACCTTGATCACAATGCCGCAAACCGTTAAAAAAATCTTGATTCATTCTAAAGTTATGAGGGCTTTTTAAAACTTTATTTTTAGCCCATTTTAACATTGTGCATTTACAAACTAAGACCATAATCTCAAAATAGTGCTAGATAAAGATAAGTATACACTACCAGTAATTGTCGACCTATTTTCACTTGGTTATGACTGATGTATTTTTTTCGGCCGCCATCTTGGAGCCGCCATTTTGAAATGTGATAATTATTTTAAATATGAAGGGGGTGTTGTGACCCATCATTTCGAACTACTTTTTTAAGCTGAACTTAATTCCATGATCCGTTTTTCATTTTCATTTTTGATTTTGAAATATTGACATAAAAAAATTGCAATATTTCATAAATAAAACTTCATAACAAAAAATGGATTGCGTCATTGAGTTTAGCATAAAAACGTAATTCAAAATGATGGGTCACAACACCCCCTTCATATTTAAAATAATTTATCACATTTCAAAATGGTGGATCCAAGATGGCGGCCGAAAAAATACATCAGTCATAACCAAGTGAAAATATGTTGACGATTACTGGAAGTGTATACATATCTTTATCTAGCACTATTTTGAGATTATGGTCTTAGTTTGTAAATGCACAATGTCGAAATGGGCTAAAAATAAATTTTTAAAAAGCCCCCATAACTTTAGAATAAATTAAGATTTTAAAAACGGTTTGCGGCATTGTAATCAGGGTAAAAATCTAGTTCGAAATAATGGGTCACAACCCCACCTTTACTTTTGAAAAAAAAATTTGCATCCAATATGGCGGATCCAAGATGGCCGCCGGAAATGACCACCTTGTCAAAATGAAGTACTTACTACCCAACAATGTTTGGATGTGGTCTGGGATTGATATTTGAAAAATTGTAGAAAAAAGTTGGGGGGGGAATGAAAACTCACCCTGTATATGGTTTAACATGAACATACTTTTGTATGTATTTATTTCCGTTACTCCTAAACTTAATACAGCGATTTCTCAATCACCTGTAAATGGATTTGAGTAGATAATGTCATTTTCGTGTTCTACATTAAATTTTGAATAAGAGTAACACAAAAGAGTAAGAATAACACGAAATGACAGATGATCAGTTGTAAAAACTCCATTGTAAATAGATTCAAAGATAAAAATTAAGATGTTTGATAGAAATAATAAAAAAAAAACAATGGTCCATTGCATTTTTTACACCCTGTATACAAGAAAGTGTCGGAATATGTTTAAAACTGCACCATCTTATAAGCTTTCCAACCATATGCTACACTATTGAGGTTTAGATATTCTTTTGTTTGTTTTTGTGGTTTGTATGCTAGAAAACAGGGAACTTATTTACTGTTTTACTGTTCAAGCTGAAACAAAAATAAAACTTTTGCTTAATACATGCCGACTTTCTATGTTTTAAATGTTAAAGACACCATGCTTTGTAGTCTTCAAACCAATAAAGCGTACATAAGCAGACATAAAGCTCAATGCTGTAGCATATGGTTGGAAAGCTTATAAAATGCCGCAGTTTTTAACATATTCCGAAACTTTCTTGTATACAGGGTGTGAACAAATGCAATTGACCAATGTTTTTCAAATGTTTATCAAACATCTTAATTTTTGTCTTTGAATCTATTTATAATGAAGTTTTTGCAACTGATCCTCTGTCATTTTGTATTATTCTTATTCAAAATGTAATGTAGAACTCGAAAATTACAGTATCTACTCAAATCCATTTACAGGTAATTGAGAAATAATAGCTGTATTAAGTTTAAAAGCATGGTTATATTTTGAAAAATATAAAATAACTCTTAGGGAAGCTAATTTTTAGACTTGGAACATTTTATATGCATCATCATACTGCATTTACTTTTTACTTACACTAAAAAAATTGTGTCACACTGTCACCAATCACCCTGTATACAATCCTCAACAGTAGCTTTACGATTTGTTTACAGCTTTTACACAATACTCTCTTAGGTAGGCCTATAGTCAAGATTTTCATATACCTAAACCGTCGTTTGAAAATATAAAACCATAAGATTTTGTAAAATTTTAAAATAAAAATTATTAAATATCTAATTTAATTTGCCCACTCTTACCACAGCATATAAACCGATGAGAAAACTTCCTGTTCTCAATGACACACAAAAACAACATAATAGGAACATAGTTTCAGAGTATACTGTATGTAGTGTTAATGCATCCTGTTCATTAGAAGACCACGTTAAGTTGTACAGCACAAATAATTTTTAAGCACTTCCTAGGTTACGGTATAAAATGTTGAAATTAATCCATTATCATCTACTTATTATTCTTTGTTTGAAGTTTTTTCTTGAACATAGTAGGTTTCTTTTATTTTGAGATTACCAATTACAGTGTAACTCATCGTTGGCAACAATCATTCGCATGGCATTTCCGAAACAATAATTTGTTCTCAAAACACCTAACAAATTACAGGACTAGTACGGAAATCCCACCCAACGAAGGATCTGATAGCTTTATAATTCTCCAGGAAAGAAGTCCACACTTACCTTGAAAACAACATTTCTTATACAGACGTCCACATTTGTATGATCATTGCATGTTATATTTATTTCAGACTTGTTTTTCGTCAGTTGGTGTTGGTAATTTCATATAACAGTTTACAGTAATAGTATAGTTTTTGCAATAAAAAAAAATTTATTAAGTGCAACATTCGTTTATGGTGTTGTTGCTTTAACGTAAATATGTAAATAGTTTACTGATATCCTTAAGGATCCTGGTCGTCTGATTCGTCATGATAATATTCCCATTCTTCTTCTTTTATTAGTTCTTGAGCGTGACTCCAGAGAATCAAAGTGAAATAGAGAATCAAAACTGAAATAAATAAATTTTAAAAAATCCACGCTAGTATAACATGCTTTGTACATAAATAACCTGAATTATTGCGTAGTAAAAACTCTTTTTACTTGTTTGTTGTCGATTTAATATTTGATGATTGCATAATTTCTGTATTTTTTTGTACAACAGTACAATAAGACTGATACTTTTGTATTTGTAAGAACTAGTATTATTTTAGTCTTACTTTATTTCTTTCGTGGAATAAATATTTAATAAAATAAAATATTACTTTATACTGTTATATTTTACAACTGTTTAATACATTAGAGTATATTTATATTTAACTATTTCATTATCATTCCATCTATACAAAATAACCAATGCTAAGTTGGGAGAGTAAGAAAATAATATTGCTATTTTGTTTATTTTGCCAAATTGTCAAACATTACAAAATTATCTTAACACTAGAAAGCAAAATCGGATACTTACATATTGTGAGCGCAGCTGAAATCAACCCTTTAGTCCCATTACCTGTGGCAGCCAACTTTATGAATTCTACAATAAGTGCATGGACGAAAACCGAAAAGAATGAAACAGCTGCCACTATTAACACTTTTGGCTTTTCCTGTCAAAAGTTTTACTATTAAAATGGTTATTTTATCGTCAAATATTGAAAAACCTTATATGCAATTAAAAAATTATTTAATAATAAGGGTGGACCAAAGAAACAGGGACAATTTTAAACTGTTATTACTCAGCTGTTATAAAGGCTGGAGAGTTCATTGATGCGACAAAAGAAAGTTTATTTGATGCCATTTAGTGTATAGTTACTATGGATCATCAATGGTTACCGCAACATCGTGCCTTTGTCATAGAGACTTTTTTAAAGAATAATTTGACTTTCATTTCTACTCAACGTCAATTTCGTTTTCACTTCAACATTGGCCGTAATGGTGCAACCCCAAAGCGAAAATCTATTTAAAGTTGGGTAAGTAATTTCTAGAACACGTCTTCTTCACTCAAAGTCAAACCTAGTAAGATACCTCGGACTGTTCGAACGCCGGAAAACATTGAAATGGTTCACGCGAGTGTCCTGCGTCGAGCGTCCAAAGCCAACCGTTTGCAAAATATTGCATTGAAATTTAAATTTGCATAGGTTTAATTTTGAGTACAAAAGCCGTGTTTAGGACATTGTTTACCCATCTTTGAGTAGTTTATTCGGTTTGGGACTGCACCATTACGGCCAAAGTTGAGGTGAACACGAAATTGACGTTGAGTAGAAATGAAAGTCGAATTATTCTTAAAAAAAGTCTCTATGACAAAGGCACGATGTTGCGGTAACCATTGATGATCCATAGTAACTACTAAATGGCATCAAATAAACTTTTTTTTGCCGCATCAATAAACTTTCCAGCCTTTATAACAGCTGAGTAATAACATTTTAAAATTGTCCCTGTTTTTTGGTCCACCCTGTACAAGAGCTTTATTCTTTAAAATATTCTAAATGTACACCCATTATGGTGTTATATTAGTTTCTCATGGGAAATTGGACTTTTTAGAAACTACATGGCAATTGCTTAGACAATTATTACTTATCATGAAGACTAAGCACATCTTAAACGATGTGAAATATTAAAAAATATTATAAAATTTCCTACGTTTTTTCATGCATATGGTTAAATGTGTACACTCTTGAGTTTATACAACTGCAATCTATGGTTTTGCTTATTATGAATACTTTAATGCAAATAATGATTATGAATTAAATTTATGGGTGGCATTTATTTTTCAATTTTTTCGGCATTATTGGGTTGGTTTTTAATATTTTAAGTTTTGTTTAATACATAACAAAACATATTATTTTGTTAAATAATATAACAAAGGTACATATGAATACATATACAACAATGCATACTACGAAAGACTTTTATTGTAAATAAAAATCACTTGAAACCCAATCTATGTGTTTAAGCTACCATGGTTGATAGCAGTCGGAACTTAAAATCCAAGATAATGTATAAAAAACTGTTAATACATTGACTTTTAAAATTATATACTGTTACATACTTTTAAGAGCTTTTATAATGTTACTTTTTTATAATGTTACACTTTTGTTTAATAATGTTACCTTTTTTTATTGGTTGTTACTTTTTGTACCTGAAGTTGTCGTTCTTCTATGTACCAAGGTACATTTCCTCATTGAGGAGTTACTATAATTTAATATAAAAACATAATCTTCAGTGTTTATACGTTTGTGAGGCACTATTATTCATTTAATTATTCCTTTTAAGATGCCTCAATGTGGCAAAATGTACCCTAGAAACTAGAAGAACAAATATATGTTGTAAATATATGTTGAATATGTTGTAACTTCAGGAACAAAAGGCAACAGCCAAATAAAAAGTTAACTTTTTTGACTTTTGGTTTTAATAAGATCTAAGGAGATTTGGATTATGTTCTTTCCTTTTTAAAACACTTTCGACAGGTTTGTCTTAAACGTTTCAAAGTACTAAACATACTAACCTTACAAACAGCCAACAAAATAGTTATTCCAGCACAGATCTTAAAAACTTGACAGGCCATAAGGATGACGAAAACTGAAACCATTGTTTCATTTATTACATGTAATACACAATTATTTTAATAATAAATTTTATAACTAATTAGTTGACACGTAAAACGGGCATTTCTATGTTTTACTTAGGGTAATCAAAAAAACTGCAAACAATGTGATTAACGAACCATAAAGTAAATAAGTATTATAGTCTGCCTAGAAAAGTAGCTCTTAGTAATTTTAATAGGTTGTTCCCGAACTCTCAAATAACATTTTGAAGTATAATTCCTGGACCAAACTCAAACTAAAATATCACATTCAAAATTTGTCATACTCAAATCCACGATTTTTCAAAAGAAAATGTATATTTAGATTAGGATTTTTTTTTACCAAAGTTCATATATAGATTAATAACGCAAAGACTTATTTTAATAAATAGTGTTAACCTTTTTTTTACATAATGTATAGTAAAAAAGGTGGCAGTTTAAAGTTTGTAAACTGACATCAAATAAAACTACATAGGTAAACAAAACTGCTGCGGTAATTTTTTATTTAGACAATCTTCTTACAAGATTTTCGATGCCAAAATAAAAAAAAAACAATTTTTAAATATGGGTAAAAAAAACAATTTTTAAGATTCAGAGTAGCCTATCAACCAATGTGTTTTCCATAGCATATCTGATAGTTGGCTAGAATATTCAGCTCGTTATATTTTTACATATCCAATGAGCAGGTCAGGTAAAGTATTTTTGTATCAAGTAACATTAAAATTCCTCCTTTAACTTATTTATAAACCGTACTATAGTTTCGTTTAACTCGTTATCTATAAATATATTTAAAAATCTTAAATATGTGTTATTTTACAACGTGCTATTTTAATTCGTAATTGGCCTAGGAATGATACCTTAAACGGTAAGTAGATTGTTTGGGGACACCCTGTATAGCTGATATGCCCCGAAGCTTGTCCCATCAAGCTTTGATTTAACCAATACATAATCACACGTTTCTTACTTACATTGTTTTCTTTGAAGTGTTTGATGAAGGTTTTCTTCAGGTTCATTTTCCTCATGTGTAAAATTCTCAGCCTCGTATATTAAATATTGCATAGTAGCAAGGCTAGCCAACTGAAAAAATTATAAATTCTTTAATTGAATTCTAATTTAATATTGTTTACTAACTGGAAGACTGCTAGATAAAAATTTATTAAACGAATCCGATACGTAGGCCTAATATAAATCTATAACAAATTAATTTAAAAAGTCTTTGGCAAAGGAAACAGTCAACAAAACCAAATGTACAGGAGGAAACATAGTCTAGTGTTTGAGTGCTAGATTTCGTTTCCTAAGCCCCGGATTCAAATCCTGTTATTCAACGATAGAATTTACCTAATTGACCCACCACGACCCCAACTATGTACACGACCCCACCACGACGTACAACTGATGTGTGCTAGAGGTTTCAAAGGTAAGGCATTAAAAAAAACTAATTGTGTATGATGAAAGTAGAGTAAGTAATATGTTGTTTCAAAATCGTTAACTTACTTAATTGCTATTTTATACGTAAAGAATGGTAAAAATAATGGATACGGGCATTTTGACTATAGAGTACGTTAAAAAGTAGACATTTATAAATCCCTCCAATTCAATTGTGTTTTCACAAATTCATACGAATTAATTATTATTTTAGGGCAACACATTTTTAGAAGATGAAGTATTACGAATCAGTAGTTATTAAAGGTAAAATTTTCAATTAAATAGTTAAATATGTATTTAATTGATAATTCTTCGTTGCGTTTTAAATAATTTAGATGCTGTATGAATGAACATTTAATACATACTGTATTTTAGAATAAGCTTTTCTAAACTATCTATCAAATGGAACTTGAATACATTGTTTGAAATTTTGTGGCAAACGAAATGTTTGTAAATCATAAAGAGAACTCATTGTACATTTATACTATAAAAAAAGATAACATTTTACAAGGACTCATTATTCCTACACTCAGTCCTGCATTTGAAGATCATTTTTATATCGATAGAGAAAATTAAGTATTATAAATGTATGTACTCTTAACCATGGTAATTGGTGGTTGAGCTTTTTCTTATACACCTTCACATAAAGCAGGTCAGTTATATCATCGAAAAAAGCTATTGGGAAAATCCAACAGGGTAAAGTAATATGACATTTTTAGGTTTATATATACATATACCTTTATATTGTCCTTAGCTTATACAATTTTTTATTGTTTAAGGAATACAAAACAAAACCAACTCTTACCACAGCATATACACCAATAAAATAACTTCCTTTCTTCAATGACACACAAAAGCAGCATTTTTTGAACATCACTTTAACGATGTTGTTATTTTTAAAGGGTCTTGTAAACAGAAAGAGGATAACAGTACATGTTTTACTACACAAATAATTTGTTAATACTACCTTGGTTACGAAATGTATGTAAGAAAATAAAAAACTTTTTTCTCTACAGTAAGTTTTGTTTAAATAGATCTATGTGTTTTGAAGGATTACCAATTAAATTTGCAACCATTATTGGTGAATCTAGAATTTAATCCCTAAAGTACCTAATAAAATACGAGATTATTACAAAAACCTAGACCAACGATGGATAGGAGAACACTTCCTTAAGCCTAGTGAAAACCGATAATTCTACCATTCTCTAAAGAAAATGTCTGCAGTAACCGTAAAAATAATATTTCTTATAGGCGATCACATTTGATATGGCCATGACTTAGTAGAATTGAATATTGATACCTGAAACATTTAGAGATCACTTTTCTTTCCTGAATTTGTGACTAACATCTGACAAACATAATATCTGTTTTTGCATTAACTCAAAATGGAATTGAATAGTTAAAAATCAAAAGTAAAATTAATTTATTTACTAAACTTTAATTTCTGAACTAATTTTGTTCTTCGTAGTTGAACTTTTGTCCCCCTGATTTTCAGCTGTGCCAGTTCCTTCAGCAGTTGTCTCAGACCTGTTCTCTTTGAGTCGCCTCTGGTAATTCCATATAATAGGCAAGAGAACTATTACAGCTGGAATGTTAAAAGAGGTTTGCACATGAAAATGTAATACAATTTATTGAGAACATGTATTAATTATATTTGAGTGGCAATCAAAAGATATAAGCGAAATAATACTAGAATTTTGTGAATGAAAATCCTTTTCTCTCATAAAAAAAAATAAAAACATTGCCTCAACCAAAGTTGATGAAATAATGGAATATAAAAATTAGTTTAGGCTACTTAACCGTGTTATACGCGTTAGCTTTTAAAGAGTGCTAAGTATTTTAATTTATAATATTTTTAAGTATTTTCCTCGTATCCATGCAATAATTACACCAGTTATACGGTTGATTTGTATTTCCCTAATATATACAAAAATTTATAATTTATTACCTCGATTCAAACTGACTTACTAAAAAAAGTATTTTTATTATTAAGTTGAAATAAACGATAGAAAATATATTTTACTAACCTGTGCATTTAAAATATTTAAGCAATATAATCATACCTGAGGCACAACTTGTAACTATAAATGAGTACCCTCCTCCCTCGGAAATCGATTCAATGAGAGATAGTAGGAGCTTAATCCCCTTAAAAACTGCATAAAGTACTGTAGCAGATTGCAATATCTGGGCATATTCCTAAAACACACTGACTTTTTAGATAAATGCAATACTGTAGTACAAATTAATTATCACTATACAACTTTAACATGGTTTGTAACCTGTGCATATTTTAATCTAATTTTAATGCACGATGAGAGAAAGGGAATACACCTTGTGGCGAAACATTATTTAATATAATTATTTAGTTATTTTAACTATTTGGAATCAGTAACATAAATTTTTAAATTCCAATGATGATGAACGGATGGATAATTTTATAATTAATTGCAAGTTGACTGACAAATGATATTCGTATTTCTCAGTAATTCTTGTAACCATTTATTTAAGAAGCTTGTAAAAGGTTTTAAATAATATTTTTGATACTGAAAGAATTAAGTGGAATTAGTTAGTGTGATATGCCTATGATTTCGTTAAAGAAATTTGGCAAACGCAGTTAAAAATATATGTTTTAAATAACTGTCAAACTGTTACACATGAAAACCGATCTTTAAATGTTTTTAATGACATAATGTTGAGGAATCCGTACACTTTTTACTTTTAGAATATCCTACCTACTAAATTGCATACTATACAGGGTGAATTTTAAATGAGTTCCCCCCCTACTTTTTTCTACATTTCTAAAGATATCATCTCCGGACCACGTCAGATCATTGTTGAGTAGTAAGAACTTCATTTTGACTGGGTATACATTTTTGGCCGCCATCTTGGATCCACCATATTGGATACCAAATTTTTCTTTCAAATGTAAAGGTAGGGTTGTGACCCTTTATTTCAAACTAGAATTTTACGCTGATTACAATGCCGCAATTAGTTTTTAAAAATCTTGATCCGTTCTAAAGTTATGAGGACTTTTTATAACTTTATTTTTAGCGCATTTTAACATTGTGCATTTACAAACTAAGACCATAATCTCAAAATAGTGCTAGATAAAGATAAGTATACACCACCATTCATTGTCGACATAATTTCACTTGGTTATGACGGATGTAGTTTTTTCAGCCGCCATCTTGGATCCGCCATTTTGAAATGAGATCAATTTATTTAAATATGAAGGTGGTGTTGCGACCTATCATTTTGAACTACTTTTTTATACTGGACTCAATACCGCAATCCGTTTTTGGTTATCAAGCTGTCTTGATGAAATATTAAAATACTCTTATTTAAAATTTCAATATTTCAAAAACCAAAGATGCAAATGAAAAACGGATTGCGGCATTGAGTTCAGCATAAAAAAGTAGCTCAAAATGATGGGTCACAACACCACCTTCATATTTAAATAAATTGATCTCATTTCAAAATGGCGGATCCAAGATGGCGGCTGAAAAAACTACATGCGTCATAACCCAGTGAAAATATGTTGACAATGAATGGTGGTGTATACTTATCTTTATCTAGCACTATTTTGGGATTATGGTCTTAGTTTGTAAATGCACAATGTTAAAATGCGCTAAAAATAAAGTTATAAAAAGTCCTCATAACTTTAGAACGGATTAAGATTTTTAAAAACTAATTGCGGCATTGTAATCAGCGTAAAATTCTAGTTTGAAATAAAGGGTCACAACCCTACCTTTACATTTGAAAAAAAAACTTTGTATCCAATATGGCAGATCCAAGATGGCGGCCAAAAATTTATACCCAGTCAAAATGAAGTACTTACTACTCAACAATGATCTGACGTGTTCCGGAGATGATATCATGAGAAATGTAGAAAAAAGTAGGGGGGGAACTCATTTAAAATTCACCCTGTATACATAATGCTTTATGCTATATACTATATACAAATAAATATATACTATTTTTTACATATTGTTTCAATAAATTGTGTAATGTTTTACATTAACCAAACGGATCAACGAAATTAATTAATGTATATTGTGATGATACTCACTTACCTTCCAAACTGCAAATGTCATTACCATTTCTAAAGAGACGATACACAATTGAATAACCTTTGCAGACATGACTGGAAAAAACAGATTAAAAATATGAATGATCGAACAGACAATGTATAATATTATAAGCTCAACATGAAAACTTGTATAAATCACTGATTCAACGTAATTTAGTTAGTTATGTTAAAATATCTAATTACAAAATTAATGTAAGGTATATGCAATGAATATATAAACACTAATATGTTTAAAATATGCATTAGGACAGTATATACAGGATGAAAAAAAAGTCTGGAAACGGCTTGATATCTTTTTAACTAAATTCTTTAGAAAACTCAAACATTTAACATCAACTTATATGTATGAAAACTACTTTTTGCAAGCATTACGATTTTTTTAACATCACCAGGGAATGGCCCATGAGGAGTAGGTACGTAATCTTTAATGTAAGCAAAGGTTAATATGGACATCATTTTAAAGGTCTAGTCAAGTGGATTTCATTGCCAGAAACCGCGTCAAAAAAAGTTCATTCGTTACAAAATGGTGGCAGTCCAAAGTTCTTGCGGAAAATACCTGCACAGGCCTTAGTATTGGTAAATACCCATAGTCAACATTAGCCGGGAAATCTGAAACTCGGTTAAATTAGTTTTGAAGATTGAATTAACTTAGTATATGAGCTAGTTGACTTTAAAACACAATTTCAGCTCTCAAGCTGATGTTTAATACGAGTATTTACCAATACTAAGGCCTGTGCAGGTATATTCCACAAGAACTTTGAACAACCGCCATTTTGTAACGGATGAACCTTTTGAGACGCGGTTTCCGGCAATAAACTCCAATTGACTAACTGTTTAAAATGATGTGCATATCAACCTATGCTTACATTAAAGATTATGTACCTACTCCTCATGGGTCGTCCCCTGGTGATGTAAAAAAAATCGTAATGCTTGCAAAGAGTAGTTTTCATACATATAAGTTGATGTTAAATGTTTGAATTTTCTAACGAATTTAGTTAAAAATATATCAAGCCGTTTCCAGACTTTTTTGTCACCCTGTATAACAAAATAACAGTATTCAATAACCGCAATTTCAAAGCAAGCTTATACATAGCATTCATGTTGAGCTAATTTCAAACCATATATCACTACAAACAGTTTTCAAAAATTTTAAGCGAAATTGGTTCATTAACGATTCCTATGAATAAGCACTAAGCTGAAAACTACTCAAACATAACCTATGTAATCTTAAAAAAAAATTTAATTGAATAATATTAACAAAGAACTGCTTACATAAATATACATTAAGATGATCATTATTCTGTCCTTCTAACATAGGCTTGATAAGGTAGAGCTCTCCCATAGTTTCACAACAGGAAGTCACCTAAAAAAGAACATTTCCAAGCTATTTCCTTCATAACATTTCCTTCAATCTATATACTTATTTAATACGCAAGCAGGTTTTTTGTGACAATTACTCCTCCGAAACTACTGAACCGATTGACATGTTTTTAGTGTCATTGGAAAGAGCGTAACGTGAAGTTGTGCGGGAAACTTTCTTTTTATAGAAATTATTAGAGAGTGAGGCCCTGGGGCCCTTTAAAGTTTCGTATTTCTCCATACGATTAACATGGGAAATAAACATTGTTATGAAACTCCAGCTGTTGTCAGTTAAAAGTGAGAAAAAGAACATATATTAATTGTAAGCAGTCAATAAGTTTGCTAATTTAACAGTTTGCTACAAACATTTACAGACTTGGTTGAAATGAAATATTTAACTTACTATTTGAATTTGGGTTAGCGTAAATATTACAATGGAAAAAAAGCGAGAGAGCCTGGATAATTTGATATGCTAAAAAGAAAATTGAATTAACACTGTCCTGCATTTCTTAGTAATCATTGAAAGAGCCAATTTGCAAACTATGGAAACATAGGAAAGTCAAAAAATACCACCAAGAAAAAGAGATATAAATGTTTTTTTTTTTTATAATTTAAAATCGTTATTATGGACAACCTAATGCGGCTATGAGTAAGGCTATTTGTAGAAAACACTAAAAACAAGATCAGCTTTTGAAAAATGATAAGATATTAACAAGAAATGTTGATTATATCGATCTGTAATGTACATCTTAAGTATTTCCATAACCTTCGAGTCGAATCTTTTAAAGCCACAATAAATTATGACTGTTTTATTCGTTTTAAAATAGCTATTTCTCGAATTCGAGCAACAGGTACACTAGTTACTTTTAAAAGACTATTTTGATATGAGTTGGTACAACCTTCATATTGTAATAATAAGTTTTCAATAAAAATAAAATAAAATAAAAATGATTTAGATTTTAATTTTAGTGGATACTTAAACTAATAAACTGCAAACATATTACCCACGAATAAACAAAAACACGAAATGAACGATGCAAATCGTAATGGAATACATCCACAAAATAAATGTCCACATTTTAGGCAAACTCTGCAGCAACATCCCATGTTATAAACTGAAAAAAATAGACAAAAACACAACACAAATTATGATTCATTCTATTTATTTTAGTAGGTATTTTACTATAGTAACAACTTACCTTCATATACATTTATTAGTATGACGTAGCAATATTTAGTTTTCTAGAACCATACCTTAAACTTGGTTGCATTCGATGTACATTATGATTTCTTTATATTAACTATTACTATGGGTAGCTGTTCCAGGATATTAAAAAAGTATGCCAATCCCTTTATGGCATCAGTTTATATCACATAATCGTTATTTTTCGCTTTTAGCTTATAACTATAAACACTATGGAGGTGGTTTGATTGATGTTAGTGTAAAAAGTAGCATATATGACATTTCTAGGAATATATAAGACTATATGATCTTGCAATATATGCCTCTTTTGAAACAATCGTTGCACTATTTTAACATTATTTTAAATTTATTCTGGCGGCGTCAGTCATTTACCCGAGCACTGCATTACGTGGCAACGTAGTTAATAGAGAATATATTATTTTTATTTATTTGTTTTGAAGGAATAAACTCACTAAAACATTATTTCATTAATTACGTACCTTATTGTTTCCTGAAAAAAAAAAAACACTGTTGATTTATAATTCAAAGCTAACTTGTTTCATAGCAACTGTTTTACTAGTTTGGATCCTTCATTGTGTTTTTGGCGAACAATTTTAAGCACAAAGTTAATATTTCTTGCACAATGTACCATGTAGGCCTAAATCCGTTCAAATAAGTTGTACAAGGTTTCAAAATAAGAAAACATTAAACAATAAATACATTTTATAGCTCTCATCTAAATTTATTTAAACTCTTAGACCAATATTAAATGTTTTTATGTTATAAGCAGTTTTACTAGACTAAAAAAAAAAACTAGGTAAAATAATTAAATTTTTGAGGATTGTGCTTTATTAAAGTAAAGTTAATTGTATCATCATCGTTTGTCAACATGTTGTGTTAAGCTTGGCTTAATGAACTTAATTCATAGTTTTTAAATGCACTGTAAAACCACAAGCGAAGCGCCAGTAGCCCAGTGGTTAATATCTGAGACCTCGATTGTAAAAGGGACTGACTCAATTGCTGATAAAGCGTAAAATTTAGAATTTTGGACTGCTTTTCCTTCAAAATGTTTATTGTTCTTTAGTCCAAAATGCCAATGCCTTTGACATACGTAATCATACAAGTTAACTACTCTCAAATTCTATACTTTGGTATAATTTCCAAGATTTCAAGTAATGAGCTTTTTTCAAAAAATATTTTAGACTTCGTTTCCAAAACTTATTCTATTTGAACCTCAAAGGTATGTGTGTTGAACGAATCGAGCAAAGCAAGGGGTGAACCACTAAAGCACAAATATGGACGGTACTAATTTATTCTAAACTACTACAGGAATCAATGAAGGAGTTATTTTGTTTTCATTGAGGTTATACTGTATAACTGAGGAAATAGTATCCACAGTCTTGCACTACTGACCAAGTGCCCGACTGCTGTACTACTTCCGAATGTATCACTATAGCGTACTACAACAAATAAATATACCATCTAAACATGAAATACCTCTCTAAGTAGTTTTAAACCAAATAATTTATTTCATTCCTTCAAAAGATTTACATTTTGGGGTTTCCTAATTGTTTGGAGCACATATAGACGACCGATGTCCAAATCTCTGAGCAATTTGAGCTATTTCGTAGTTTGCCAGAATATTTAACCTTTGGCTCTCCTCCTCATCGACTGCAAAGCTCCAAATGACAACGAATCCATAAAGGTAGAACGCTGTAAGGATGTTACATGTTGTATAAGATACAAAGGTTTGTATACCAGTGGAGACAACTTAAAAACTAAAATATATAAGAATATGTCAGAAATTGCTTCATACAACTTTAGGCATGTGTACGATTTCGTCAATTTCTTTCATTCTACTCAATGAATCGTGCTCACCTTTCTTAGACATATACAGACACACACGTTGCTCTGTGTACATTTGAAATAAATGCATTTAACCTAAAGACATTTGTCATTTCTGTACCTAAACGAAGCTTGTCATCTTTATTAAGGTGTCATCTTATATTTCACTATAAGTATACGCCAAATCCACATTCAAACAAAAAATCATTTATAGAATTTTAGTTTTAAATCAACAATCATGTGGGTGTATTAATATATGACATCTAAATAACATCGACATACTGTTCGTATTATGCAAATTAAATGCCAGAATGAAGAAACATATTGTTAATCATGTAGGCTTTTTACAAATAAATTAATAAACGGACTAAACGTGTATTTTTCATTCAGGCAGATTTTTTTTTTTTTTTTTTTTTAAGGGGTTGGCGGCCTCTTTTAACCTTGCATCTGCCCGTGCGTGGATCGTTAACAGCAAAGCAAGGAGTGAGCCAGTACAGTACAAAGGTGAACTGTACTGATAAAATGTTATCGGCAGTGACCAGGATCCGAACCCACGACATCGCTGCCTTGGGCCCGAAGTCCGCGACGCTACCGACTGAGCCACCGACTCACTAAATTATCTCAATTACCTAAATTATCTAGATTATCTCGTTCTAATTGAGCTTGAGCTTGATCCAAAATGAGTCATTAAATCCTTTTAAAACTGTTTGACCAGTTAGTCTTACATACTCAAAAACCTTCAGTCCAAATAATTTTGTTGGCAACTAAGCATATTTTGGCACATCAAACAGAGATGAGGTTTGTTTGGTTTGGCTTAATTATAGAAAGCACAATTAAAAGATTCTTCATTTTAAGACTGCAAAATTGTCATTTGATGTTTTTTATTTAGTTTTTCGTTTAATTCATGACCATTTAATTAGTTGCACTTATAGAAAAAATATATACAAAAACAACTTACACCCATTTACGAAGAAAAACAAAAAAGCTTCAATGTCTTGGCTGACGATAAGTCTGACAATTGCGACCACTAGACGAAAGATGGACGCTACCAGAAGAGCCAACGATGCATATTTAACTAATTTTATTTTATTCTAAAACAAAACAAAAATTAGTTTTAAATTCAATGTTTTTGGACTATTTCTCTTCACTGTGGCTATTCTAAGGACTAAAGAAAGCTGTCTTAATCCAGCTAAAATGTACAACTGATCCAGTCTTTTAAGTGATTGTAGATAATTGTACGACATGAACCTCAAAGATTTTCAATTTAAAAGTTTCATGAAAATTTGCATTGTTTTTTTTTTGCTTTCGCAAATTGCTTTCTGACTTCATCAATTCATGTGCCAAATAATATTTTACGCATAATTTATGTTATACATTGTGTTATATAACTGACATAACTCAATGGTTGCAGCGTTGTAGTTTCTAACCGTCGGATTTTTTTTAACAAAAACTACTTGTTTTGTGGAACGATGAAACCAGTGAATTATTCATTCAGTTAAAAATATACATTGAGCTTATTTATTTTAGCCACTTTTCATAAATGGAAAATTAACGCTACAAATTAGAAAAAACTTAATTAAGTCTAGAATGGTGTTTTTTTTTCATAAATGGAACTTTTCATAAATGGAAAATCAACAACTTTCAAGTAAAGACACTAATCCAGAACAGTATTTTATCACAGTTCAGTACAGAATACAAAGCTGATCAAAAATATATATTTGTTTTTAATGTTACCTAAGTAAAAAAATATGAGAAAAACACTGACTTACGTTAATCAAACCGTATAAAATGACAATCCCAATAACACACAGTACTGTATGTAAACACAATGCTACAAGAGTCACTGAAACAAATACAACAAAACAAATAGTACACAACAATTGTAGAATAAAGAAACAAACTACAAACCATAAAACATTCATGCTCTAAAGCCTTACAGACTAATGGTTACAGACTTTTCACGTATCTTAGTAATACTCGTCAATTTACAACATAGGTTTGGCATGAGTCAACGGTCAAGTAGCAAGTATCAATGGAAGGTTTAATATCCTCACATAAAATAATAAGTATTTTATAAAGCACAAGCTCAAAACATATTTCAACAAAATTGCAATGTATAGACAATTAAATACATAAAATCCAACTAAAATATTAAGTTATTTCCATATTATGATTATTACAAAATAAAATACCCTATCAGAGTATCCCATTGAAATTTATATCCATCTATAGTGAAGGTCAAATTTCTAAAATAATAGTAAAATATTCTTTGCTAAAGTCTTTCTTTCATATTGTCTGTTTGTTTCTTTCTTTTTGCTTTGGATTTGTATGTACACTATATTACAGAGATGAGTAGATGTATTCAATTGATAAAAAAGTCTACTTTTTGTAAAATTGTAAGAAGCTTACTGAAATCAAAAACCCCTTCGCTTGTAGATTCCATCCAAGTATCAGTAATCGTAGTCAACTCTTCAAACATATGAACAGCTCCGACGACACTACTTCCCTGTGAATAATCAAATTCACTAATAATAATAATCTTACGAACAGTTTTTAGCAAAATTTTCCTAACAGGAAAGGAGCTATTACCGTATGTGGGAAAAGCACTCCGTAGATAGATAATCTGAAATTTTAAAATTGGTTTAAGACCTTCTGGTTAAGTATTTTAAGTAGTTTAAAATAGTTTTTGATTTGTGGGATTCGAAACGCTACCTTCAAGCAGTTGTTCAACTCCACTCATATAGCCACTATCTAGACCAGCCACGTCACTTGATCGTATTATGACAATTCATAAACAAAAATTATAATTTAATTGCTTCTTTAAAACTATACTCGCTTTTATGGTTCAATCCACACACATTCTAGAGAATAAAAGAACGGATTTCCTTACCACAGTAACGCAGCCTACAATGTAGGAACCAAAAGCCAAGGTGAAACATCTACAAAATCTTTTGCACATCTTCGGTATAGCACTGGACTTTTTCCTGAAATCATCTATTTATTAGAGACTTACTAGTAGGTTTTAAGAAAATATCAATAAATAAATGAGGAAATGGTTCTATCTCTGACTGGTAATTCCTATATAAAATCCCAAACCTTTATTTAACATAAGTTTCACAGTTAGTTTCTACTTCAGAATGCTTCATACATGAAAAAATTTATAATTATGGGAAAATGATTTTGGAATATTAAGTTTAAGCTAAATACTATAAAACCACTTAAAAGCTAACCTTAAGTGTTCATCCAGTATAAGTAGGTCTTTTGGGTTGGACAAATCGGGCTTGACTTCTTGAGTTTGAAGTTCTTGTACGGAAGTGGAACTTGCAACTACCTATTAAAAAACGTATAACAAATCAAAAATTTAATTTATATTTAGGATAACACATGAATTTTAAACAATACTTAAACCAAGATCCGTATTGATAAACGTCTTAATCCAGCTAATATGTTCAACTGATCCAGTCTTTAAAGTGATTGTTTATAAATGTCCATTTAATCAACTTCATTTAAAGTCTAGCACACTTATAGTAAAAAAAGCAATAAAAATAATGAAAAACGGCGAGCTTCAGTTAAATAGTTTGATTTATAGCCTACTCCTTGGAAGAAATGTTGTACGAGTTTGTTGTTGAACTGAGCAGTAAATAATTTAACATTAAATTAAATATTTACAATGAAAAATTAACTACTATAGGTATAAAAAATTAGTTTATACCGTTTTTTCCATATTTTCTCTGCTGGCGATGGAAAACATCTTGGCCTTTGTAAGTTCCATACCCAATATCTAGAAACAAATTATATTTATGACTAAATAACACAAATCTTATGATCTCAAATAATTTTAAAACAATAAAAAACATAGTTGACGTTGTAGTTTTTTATGTGGTAACTATGTTTGAAAAAATACAAAAATACTATAAGTCCAGCCATTGTTTTTCATTTAGTGACCTTTTTTTCATAGCATTGCATTATATTTTGAAATTTTATAAAATAAATAATAAAAAAACATCAAAAGACGTGTATCTTTTCAGTAATAACAAATTTAATAATGGAATAATGGTAAGAAATATTCCTCAATTATTCCTTTATGAGAATATAATTTGATTAGATCTATAGATATTTCGCTCATTCCATTGTGCATATTTTGAAATTAATGTGTTTGAACGGTTATCGAAAAATGAATGAGATCAGCTGGTTCTATACCAGACTCATATCAAAACCATACGACCGAGGGCAGCTGGGTCTGATTTCGAAAAATTAAAACGATTTAGAGGTTTCCCAGGATTGAACTGGTAACCATTTGATTACTATGTCACCTGACTGGGTTATAATGTCTTGAGTTACGTTAAACTCATAGTACCAAAACGATTATTCAATGTTCCGAAAACCATAGTTAGCTTAATCAGCCGTCACATTCATCCTGAAGAGAAATCCTGCTTACCCTGGTTTAATTGCAATGGTGTTCCTTCGATTGATCTGTAGCCTACTAACGTTAACAATTTTGCTCTGAATTTACCTAGCAACGTAATAGAAATAAGCTTTTTTATTTGTTATAGTCCTCTTCCTTATAGATATTTCAAAAGCACGTTTAAAAAACTTAAAGATACAAAGTAAAATCTACGAGTATTTTAAGGAATCTTTTCTGGTCAGTTTTTTATTTGGATTACTTTGATACCCAAAGAATAAACAATATTCAATACCTAAATAAAATCACAAGTACAAGTAATAACAATAGTTCCCGTACTTTTTCATTCATACTTTAACCAGCTTAACGTTGTATATTTAAAATTAAAAAATATGTAAAGAATACTCTTTGTTGTTAAAAATATACTTAAAACAATCAATATTTGAAAACAATAGTCATCTGACGGTTAGATGAACAATACTGTTATTAACCTACTTACAAACCCTTATAATTTTACGATAGTGAATGTTTGGTTTAGAAAAAAATATAAATTTAACAAGCCTAGTCTGTATTAAAAAGTAACATAATAATTCAGTTTCATGTCCGTAAGAGGCTTAACGCTTACAGAGTGTAATCCCTAACACGACTGAGCTCCTTATATTTTAACCACAGAGGCCCATTTACCCCTTTAACGTTCTTTTAAATACATTTTCAACAAAAAATTACAGTAAATAAGTTAATCATAACACGTAAATAAAGTAAAAATGATTGATTTAAGAGAACATAAACAAATATTAAATGCGTTATCTAAGGTATCTTTTTGTAGATCAGTAAACGTGATCTAGATATCCTTAGTACACAGCTTTTCTATATTGTTGCAACTTTTTTTTGTCAAGAGAGAAGTATTCATTTAGTGCGTGGTACTTATACCTTTGTCCGCTGTCTCTGCAGGTTATTATTTTCGGTAAACCTGACCAATCTCTTGAATGAAACGTATCATTTAAAGTCGTACATCAGATAAACTAGGAGATAAAGAAAATTATAAATTATATAAGAGTATCTGTAGATACACAAATGTCGTGAGAAACTGTTTTAACTTAAATCTTGCCTTTAGCACGTATTTACCAAAATGTGTTAACCATCAGCCTCTTAAGTCGCACAAGGTTTAACGAAAGATCTGACGTAGTTTGCCATATAGTTTATATATTTATGAAGATGCCTTTGTACAATATTAATATTTTAAGCTAAGTGTTTGGTAACGTATTAAATTTTCTTAGTTTAATAGATCCTAAAATATTTATCAAAGCGATGTTAGGCTAGATTGTGAATAGAAGCAAGTAAAAATAATCCTATGATGATCATGTTTATATGAATTACTTTAAAAAGGAACAATAAACATTGTTTTCTGAAATATAAATCTTTTTTTTATGATTTTCAGTTTATAGGGTTTCTTATAAAGTATTTTTATAGCTTATAAGTAACAAAGGAATCACAAATGAGATGTTTCCTTAGTTAAATTTTTATGTTGAATACCCTTTATTTGCATTAAGTGCATTGATTTGATGAACGCTGTCAAACAATAGAAAATATCTGGCTATACAATTTGAATTACGTTGTTTATTTTTAAATAGTTTCCGCATATTGTTAATACTTAGCAACCGCAATTGAACGAACCCTACTAAATTATATCGTTTATTTTATATTTTACAAAATTACTGTATCAAGTAAATTAATATGTAAGGTGTTGATCATGTGTTTGTTTTTATGTCTGAGGACGCTCCTGTGTTGCGAATATCGCTATTTACTACCAAACACGTGCTGTTGCTGCTGTTACTTAGATTGTGGATGTATATTCCTGGGCTTAGTAGTGTTGGTAAGACTTGGAAATGTATAGTATTTCAATTAATAAATAAACATTATAAACAATCATTTTACTATGTGACAACAGAAAAAGCAAACCATTTGTCTGAAGCAAAATGTTTAATTTAAAGAAAAAAACTGTTAAACGTAAAAAAAAAATTTAATTTCTGAAAAGGCAGTAATTATATACAACAAGCTCATATTGGAAATATCTTTAGTGTTTAAATTTGTTTCTGAAAGAACCTATTCTTCAGAATAGTAAATATACATGAAGCAGGTTAATTTTAAAACCTGTTTAAATAAAATACATATGTAAACATTTTTTTATTTATGTGGAATGGGTGTCATACGATTTGTAAAAATGTTGTATACAGCTAAAAAGTGAACCTTTACTTATTTCAGCTACTGCGGATAGCTATTTGTATAAACTTTGTTTTGGAAGTAGGAAACTTCGACGTCATCGGCAAGCCTAACCGTAAGTTTTAATCACTTTAATAGTGGAATTTAAAATAATTATGGTTTGCAAAGAGTTTGGGGTTGTAGAAGACCCGGAGCTATTCCTGTCAATCACTAATTTATTTTTAGTATGAGTGTTTGTAAGTTTTTTTTATCTAACTCATACTAAAAGTCCACTTGTCTTAAAATCAAATTAATTATATCAGGAAACAAGTGGTGGGAGTAACTATTATACTGTAAAGGGGAAATCACAAATTTGCAATAGATTTTGAGCCATAGTATTACTAGATATGTGAGTTGTACCATTTAGTTTTTAGTTAAGAGGACTAAACCAAGTAATAAATGTTAATAAAATCTAATACCCAATTAGTGGGTGGATTTTTTTCAAAATTCAGATTTTTCGGTAATTTTATTGGTTTTTGTAAGGGAAATCATATATTTTATAATAACTATATCGTCGTACATTTTGATTAAAATCGAAGCTGTGTTGAAGGCGTTTTTCTAAAACTACGATTTTCTGTAATTTTTAGGTTTTATGTGGATATTATTTTTTAAAACCAAAAGTTATATCGCCCGGTGATACCGTGTGTTAGTACATAACTATGGTCCAATTCAGATAAAATGTTATGTACTAGAACACGGTATCAACTAAGGGTTCGGTCTACTCACAGACCAACGCACACTCATACATTACTTTTTTTGGTTTCAAGAGGGGTTGTGGGGGCAATTGCGTATTTTTACCCAAAACTAAAACCAAAGCATTTTTACTATAACAATACTTCATATAGAATGTATAGAGGGAGAAATTGTTATACCCCTTAGACGGGGCGAACCATTTATTGAATAACATCAACTATTTAACCTAAATACCTGACGAATATGGTTTATTTTAAAATAACTAGTTGAATATAAGGCTTATGACAAATGTGTTTTATCAGAAATTCGATTTCATAGATAGGAAATAATTTTATGAATTTCGAATAATAGTTGTGGTTTTCAAGGTATTTGGCATTGATCCACAGTTAAAACCTGATTTTTAGTACAAAAGCACCTAACTCACCTATAAAAACGAGGTAATCATTTTTACCTAGAAACACTCTCTAATATACAGGATATATGATGGTAATTGGTCCCAGGTTAGATACGTCCTTAAAAGTTATTAGTTTACTATCAATATAGACATACACAAAACAGGGGTAGAATGTTCCGCCATGAAATAGTATAAAATACTACATCTTATCTACTATACTATACCAGTATATAATATACTAATACTATCTGAAGCACAAAAAACATTAACATTACTAAATCATTATTTTCTATTTTCCTTACTACAGCCACTGAATAAGTTCAGTTTCTAAAGATATTGTTATGTATGAATAACATATATTGTTATAAGTAATTGTAAAACTTTCAATTTTAGCGTGCTATAGATAAAAAAGGCAAAGATAGTGTTTCTTTATTAAAAGTTATAGAAGTTTAAACATTTTTATTTCTTTAGTGGCACACATATCTGTGATGGTGGTAATGGTCGGTTGTGCCAGCACCATATTTCTTCTCGTTGGTGCGATTTGTGTAAGTAAATTATTTTTTAATTTTATAAATAAAATTATTTATTCTTTTATTACGAAATTTAAAATACGTTTTAAAGAATTAAATCTAGTATTAATGCTATACAATAACACTTTAATGTATGCCAATTACTGCTGATCTGAAGAAATTCTTATTCTAAGGCCTACCGACTTTATGAATGGAGTAGTATGGAGTTTGGCGAATGTCTCTGTGTCAAGTAATACTGGACTAATTGATACTGAAATTTGGTAGGAATGGATTCAATACACCACAGATATTGTAGGATTCATTCGGATATTTTGACTCCAAACATAAGTAGGGTTATAAGTTCCCTTTAACTAGCTAATCAAGCGTGAATAGTAAGCATATCGTACCATACATGATAGTTTCAGATTTCAGGTCCTGAAACGTTTTGAATTGTATTTTACAATTGCGATTGAAAATATCTACAATAATCCTTTCTAGATTTAACTAGAACTTGTAATAATAACTTAACAAGTTAATTTGTTAATAAAAATCAGCGCTGCTTTTAAGGACACCGTTTTAAAGCTTCCTAATTTTTACTTGGATTGAAAGATTTATTTTTATACTATGAGCACAGTTACTGTATGGTTCTTAAAATATGAAAAAGGTTTTCTAATTTTACAACCGATTAAAAACGTAATTTTTAACCATAGTATAATCCTATGGTTGTATGTCACGGGTATATTGGGAAGTGTATGATAATATACACATTGAATTAAAAATTATAAATAAATCATTGTACAAAGCCGAAACAAATAACTCATATTGTTGCTGTTAACTTGGCATTTTTTTTATTTAGTACCTACTAAACTAACCTACTATTTGGTACATACATAAAAAATACAACAAAACAGTAAACTTAAGCTGAAATTCAATTTCATTACTTTTACAGGGATGCTATCAATTAGTGTATGTGTTCGTGTGCATGGAATGTCTTTGGTATCCTGGTTTTCTATTGTGGTTCTACTTCCTTTTCAACTCAGACGCCGGTGAAGATGACATCGGTTGGATGTTAACAGTAGCTTTGTATATCTTCGAGGACTTTATACTGTGGGGTCTTTCCTATGTCCTAATATTTTTAACAGGTGAGAAACAGATACCTAATATATGTTAGAAATAACAGATTGGAAGATATTTCCAATCTGAAATATCTAATAAATAAGAAAATATTTCTTATTATAGAATAAGAATTCTATAATAAATTGGAAGATATTTTATTTAGATTGGTATACCACAAAAGTTTATTTTACTAAAAATCTGCAGTTTGAACGTTCCACTATGTATTACGATTTGCTCATTAATTTATCCTTCGAGTTTAACCAAAAGGCTTATATATCAAAAAATAAAAATAAAAATCCAAATTTACAAGCAAGCTGATTGCAACTAAACGTAAGTTTTTAGCTGACAAGTTTTGTTATTGAGCTGGTACTCAATAACAATTGGTGGGTTTGGAAACTTAATCTACCATTTAAGGTGATAAAAAACAAAAAATAAAAAAAATAATATTAAAAATAACAGTACAAATAACAAATGTAATAAGGCGTACATTAATTGTCAAATATGAATCCTTATCAACATGTTCATGTTATACGAGTAATAATAATATTAACCTTTTATAAATTTTCCTGGATAATAAAACAGCTGACAGATAGTAACAAAGCTACACAAGGCATCTCCATTCATTGTACAATCCTTCACTCTTATTTGGGTTAAAATACGCCCCTAGGGGGCATCCCTATCTCACCAGGTAAGACTAGTAAGTGCTAATAATTAATTAGTACGTAAAGAAAATAATGTAAACTCTTGAATTTGTTTCAGTGCTTGAAGTTTACCTACTAATATTATCCTGCAGTTTGTACGATGCTCTTCTCTGTATATACGGCAACCCAGATGATTATGGGCCTCCTTACGTCGTAATTGCCTCTTGAAAAACACTTGAATTGTGGAGGTTAAATATATCAGCACGGCCAACGTAAAACTACGTCAAATCTCGAAGGGGGTTGAGTTGTGTTTAACTATTTTGGTCAATATAAAATGGATGATGATTCTTCATAATCTACCTTGGGGGGTTAACCGCAGGGGGCTCACGCTTGCGTGGGTTCGTGGCCTGGGCGACCACGCGGACCCTAGCTCTCCCAGAGGGGAGGTAACTGCCCGGTGTCAGACCCGGCACTTCAGGTAGACCACAGTTATGGACGACTGGTAAGCGCCAGCCCCTTAGGGGGAGCCTCCAGTGACATTCCCTCCATTCAGGGTGGGGGGGGGGGGGTGTTTAGCTCTCAGTGACGCCGTTAATTCCGCCTCTCCTCATCTACCTGTAACTGTGGTTGTGACTGAGTCCTACCTGTTGTGTTCGACTGACATTTTGTGAGGCATATCCTCGACTTTGGAAGTAGCCTCGTCCTGGGAGGTGAAATACCTAGCCCCCAGAGGGGAGGTAAATGCTCCGTGTTGGTATCGGCATTTTCAAGTTGGCCACAGACATGGTCGACTGGGCATCGGGTCCCAGTGACATTCCTTTATCCAGGATGGAGGGGTGTTTAGCTCTAGGAGAGATGGAAGTACATCATAATCTCTAACCTACCTGTGTCTGTGGTTCTTTGGGCTTCGGCCTGCTTGTTGTGTGCGACCAGCATTCAGTGGGCAAATCCTCGACTTTGGAAGTAACCTTTCCTGGAGGTGAAAACGGGCAAGTACCCGCAGCTCACGGGGACACTCAAGGGCAACGTAACTTTCCGCAGTGTGAGGGCAACGGTTTGTAGGTACTTATGCAAACCTATCCCTGTCTCTGAGCACGGACGGTATGGTTATCTTGAGTGTGGGGGGTTCTTCCCGGAACCTCAATTGAGTCAAGGGTGTCGCCACCTCTGGTGGATAGGTTCATCCGGGTGGGTCCCACTTCTATACCTGCCTCCTTTTGGGAAACCCTGATGGCCTGGCAGTGATGTTGGGTCTGACGGGCAAACGAAGTAGATCGGGTGCTGGGTCCGAGCCCGCCAGGGGTATCTGGGGATCTATCGCTCTGGTTATCTCTGGTTTCCCAGCAATGGGTAAGGCCTCGATCGGGCAGCGGTGTAAATGGGAGGTTGGGGTTCCCCCCGTCAGCGTGCTGATGGTCCCCTTCCTCCTGGCTATTGATGGCGGGTTCTGCCTGTCAGGGATTAGATAGGTCCCGAGTGTTGCTTGCACTAAATGCGTCGGGGCGCTCTACTATGGACCTCTAGGTTCCGACCTAGTGGAACCCAGGTGGAGTGACGCTTAAACAAGCAGCCGGAATCCCTGGTTAGGATTGAGGGGCAACCCTCTTTCCGAAGGGTCTGCTTTGGCAGCCGGCGAGCCTGATGACCTTAAGTCATCCGCCCATGATGTGCTAAAGGTTGATGCGTAAGCTTCGGCCTACATCATGGGGCCCGGGTATGTCCTGAAGGATAGGTACCGGGTAAGCAGTCAGGGGGCTTCGGCTCTCTTGACAACAAATAATAATAATAATAATAATGATAATAATCTACCTTGGAATCTTTTTGTTCTTTACTTATATAAAAACATTTTGGCTAAGTTGCAGATTAGGGATATAATGTCGTCTTATGAGACTTATGTCATCGTAATATAATATTGTTAGGTGTTTAAATTACGCTAAATAACTTACTCATGCAACAAATGGTATATAATGTACTGTACTGGTTTGATTTTTTTGCAAATATACTCTGTGTTATTCTATAATCAATACATTTCAATGCACATCGGCATTATTCTATTTGTTATAAAACCTATTAAGAACATCTTTTAAGATATTAACTGTTAAGATTATTCAAAGGGTACTTAACTTTAAATTATACGTGTTTCCTAATAAAATTAATGATATAAAACAGAATGCCTTATTCAATGATGATTATTGCTAGTATTTTATGTAATGAAAGTGTTAAAATTGACAGTTTGTTTGATGTAATTAATCAGTTTCTATTGTCTTTGTGAACTACTTCTCTTTAAATAAAACTCTGCTTTTAACAAAAATAATTCCTTGTATTTTCACTGACAAAATCACAAAGTGAATACATTACAACAAGTAAAGAAAACATTATAAAAACAATAAACCATATGTTATGATTTACTTAAAAACCTTTTGTTCATTTGCAGACTAAATAAAAAATTATTTCAATATTCCCCCTTTTTGTTTAGGCTGAAAATCACAAAAAAAAAACACCAATCTTACTACACAGTATTTTAAAACGTCCAGGTTTCAGAGGTTTCGTTAGTATGTCAGCTATTTGATTCTCTGACGATACTCTTGTAACTTTTATAGTTCCATCAAGTACTTTCTCACGAACAAAAAAATGCCTCACTTCAATGTGCTTTGTTCTTTTATGAAACTCAGGATTTTTCGATAAACGAACAGCTGCCTCATTATCAACATAAATAATGGGCTTCTCATTCATGGTTGTCAAACTTTTGAATATTCTATAAAGCCATACTGCTTCTCTAGTTGCTTCACTAGCTGCAACTATCTCTGCCTCTGTTGTTGATATGGCAATGGATGATTGTTTTTGACTCAGCCAAGTGACTGGTCCTCCCGCATAGAAGCTGATTACACCTGTAGTTGAGCTTCTAGTTGCCATATCACCTGCAAAATCGGCATCACTATAAATGGTTAACTTTTGATTCTCAGGCTGCTTGTCATATTTTATTCTATAGTCCATTGTACCTTTTAAATAGCGCATAATTTGTTTCACCATATCCCAGTGTTCAGAAGTATGACAGTCCAAGAATCTTGAAACATATGAAATAGCAAATGCTATATTAGGTCTAGTTCCACAACATAAATACATTAATGCTCCAACAGCTTGCCTATAAGGAGCCTTTGTTGCCTCTGCCTTTAGTTCAACTTCTTTTCCTATCTGTAAGTTTTCCAAACCAATTGGAGTCTTTCCAGGGTTATAATCGTACATGTTGAATTTCTCTAACAGTCTCTTTGTGTAGCCTGCTTGACTAAGAGTAATTCAACCATCTTGTTCCTTCAAAATTTCAAGTCCCAAGAAGTGTGAAGCATTCATGGTTTTGATCTTGAATTCCTTACCTACCATTTCGAAAAAAACATCTATTTCACATTCCGAGGTAGCAGCTACTAAACCATCATCAACATATAAAATAACTATGACTTTTCCTTCACTCCCATTCTTAAGAAAAAGGCATGGATCTTCTGTGCTACTATTAAAACCATTTTCTTTTAGACAGTTGCTAAATTTTTCATTCCAACAACGTGACGCTTGTTTCAACCCATATAAACTTTTCTTCAACTTACAGTATTGACCAGACCCATCTTCAAAACCCTCTGGCTGTTTTATGTAAATTTCTTCTTCCAAATCACCATAAAGAAATGCAGTTGTGACATCAAATTGTTTTATAAACATGTTCTCGTTTGCTGCAATGCTTAACACTGATCTCACTGTCCCCATTCTAGCTACTGGACTAAAAATTTCATTAAAATCTTCACCTTCCTTTTGGTTAAATCCTTTAGCTACAAGTCTGGCTTTGAACCGATCCACCGAACCATCTGCATGTAATTTTATCTTATATACCCATTTACACGGCAACACCGATTTTCCTTCGGGTAAGTTTGTCAATTCCCAGACATCTCTTTCTTTCAACGAGTCGATTTCATCTTGCATAGCACTTTTCCAATCAGAAGCATCAGAACTTGTAATTGCTTCTGTGAATGATTTTGGAGTAATATGATCCGAGCACATTACCTCTGCTAGTGCTACATAATCAGACAGTTTTGGTGGTTGTTTGATAGTACTCCTGTCCCTTAGATTAATAGAATAATCTTTTTGCGGTAACTCATTTTCTTCCTCAAAAGACTGATCCGACTTCTGCTTGATCTGAGAAGTTGAGCTGTCAATGTCTTTAATCTCTTCAGTCTGAGAACTTTTGTCACATGAGTTCCTTTCTTGATTGGAACAATTATCAATACCACGAGTGATTAAAGGAATCTCTTCAAAAACCACATCTCTTGATCTTATAAGCTTTTCATTTTTACCCCAAATCCTGTAGCCATTATCTTCAAACCCAATTAGAACTCCTTCCACAGCTTTTGAGTCCATCTTCCTTCTGTTCTCTTTCGGTACATGTACAAAACATTTGCAACCAACTATTCTCAACTGATTAATGTTTGGCTTCTTCCCATACCATAATTCATATGGTGTCATCCCTTTTATCGTTGTTGGACCCGTTCTATTCAGAATGTAAACAGCTGTTGTGACTAACTCTGCCCACAGATTTTGAGGCATAGCTTCATGTTGTGAGTGGAACATACATCTAGCCATTTCTACTATTGTCCTGTTGTCCCGTTCACTTGAACCATTTTGTTGTGGTGTGTAAGGCATCGTGAATACTTGTCTTATACCTTTTTGATGAAATATGTTACTCACATCCTTATTCTTAAATTCACCTCCATTGTCACAAGAAAATTGCTTAACAACATGCCCTGCAGCTTCAACTTCGGCCAAAAATCTTTTGATAGGCAACATCAGATTTTTCTTTAATACAATAGATATACCTAAATCGTGAAAAATCGTCTTTGAACAAAACAAAATACTTCGAACCTTGATATGATGGAACTTGGAAAGGACCACACACATCAGAATGTATGATTTATCCAGGTACGCTGGAACGATGTCTTTCCCCGAAAGGCAGTCTATGCAATTTCCCATTCATACATCCTTGACAAATCCTATCGTCCAATCCAACCGAGACACCTAAATTTTGCTGAATTACTTCACTAACATGTTTCTTGTTCTGATGCCCAAATCTTTCATGATACAACTGAAGCAAGTTGGATTTATTCGTGTCTACAGTATATACCTCATTACAAACACGTTTCAATTTTAAGTTCAATTTAAATAGTCCACCATGCATCTCCCGGTAACCTCTC